AGCCCTGCCCTTATCAGTGATGAATGGCCTACACTTCAGGACTTTTGGTTGGGGTAGCTATTATCAAATCAAATTATATTTGTCACATGCACCGAATACAACAGGTGAAATGCTTACTTACAAGCCCTTAACCAAAAATTCAGTTATAAGAAAAATAAGAGTAAAAAAAAAAATTACAATAAAATAACAATAACGAGGCTATATACAGGGGGTACCGGTACCGAGTCAATGTGCGGGGGTACAGGTTAGTCGAGGTAATATGTACATGTAGGTAGGGGTAAAGTGACTACGCATAGATAATAAACAGTGTAGCAGCAGCGTTAGAAAAGGGGGGTCAATGCAAACTGTCTGGGTAGCCATTTAATTAGCTGTTCAGCAGTCTTATGGCTTGGGGTTAGGAGCCTTTTGGACCTAGATTTGGAGCTCCGGTACAGCTTGCCATGCAGTAGCAGAGAGAACAGTCTATGACTAGGGTGGCTGGAGTCTTTGGCAATTTTTAGGGCCTTCCTCTGACACCGACTCGTATAGAGGTCCTGGATGACAGGAAGCTTGGCACCAGTGATGTACTGGGCCGTACGCACTACCCTCTGTAGTGCCTTGCGGTTGGATGACGAGCACTTGCCATACCAGGCGGTGATGCAACCAGTCAGGATGCTCTCGATGGTGCAGTTGTATAACATTTTGAGGATCTGAGGACCAATGCCAAATATTTTCAGTCTCCTGAGGGGGAATAGGCATTGTCGTGCCCTCTTCACGACTGTCTTGGTGTGTTTGGTATTAGTTAAAGGCCCAATGCAGCCGTTTTTATCGCAATATCAAATCATTTCTGGGTAACCATTAAGAAACCTTACTGAGAGTTTTGGAACTCTCTTTCTTATTGGTCTAATTAACCACCTGGTAATGTCACCAGGCAGGCCAAAACTCCATCCCATCAAAACAGGCAGAAATGTCAGGCGGTCTTTTCAAACAGCTCTTACACTAAAAGGGCATTATCTTCATTTTCACAATTTCACAGTATTATTCCAACCACATATTGTGGAAATATATATAAAACAAAGGACAATCACATTTTTGACTGCACTGGGCCTTTAATATGAATACCATATATAAGCATTATAGCTAATATAATATATGACGTTATCTGTCTGTTATATTCACGTTAGCATTGTTTCAAAGGTCTCAATATCCAGTATCCACACACCAACAGGGATATGCCACATGATTCTGAGGGCGGCTATGCCTCCGTGTGAGCCCTGGGTGTAGTGGGCTACTGTACACTCTTAGAAAAAAGAGTTCAAAAAGGGTTCTTCAGCCCCATAGGAGAACCCTTTTTGGTTCCAGGTAAAACGCTTTTTGATTCCAGGTAAAACCATTTTGGGTTCCATGTAAAACCTTCTGTGGAAAGATATGTAACAGTGACCAACTGCTGGAAGCTACAGTTACCCTAATAAGTACAAAGAAAATATTATTGTCACATACACCGGAGAGGTGCAGTAAAATGCGTTGTTTTATAGGGTCAGATTGTACAAGTAATTGGATGTAGACTACATGCTGTGTTTTTCCTGTTATTTGTTAGCATTAGCATAACTTGTGCATGTTTTTTTTTCTCATGAAGATCCTCTCACATTTTATATGCTTTAGTGTTGTCATGCTGACTTGATTATTTTGGGTGTCAGTTTAGCCAGCCGACTGGAGTGATCTCAGTTAATGACCATTCCGTGATGCATATTGATTGTTCAGAAAATAGCTCTGCTCCTATTCACATGGCTAGTGCATTGGATTGTCCAATAAAGCCCTATTTCGAGGAGCTAAATGTGGCAGTATATTGGGTTCTGCCTGAAGCAACTGTTGTAGCCCTTTAGCCTTATAGTCTGCCTATATTTAAGCAACAAGACATGAGAACCCGTGGTATGTCCTGTAAAACACAGCTAAAGGGTGTTTTCTTATCATTTTATAAATAGTCATCATAGCCATACAGCAACCTTGGTGTAATTGTTAGCCCTTAAGCTAATTTTAAGCCCCTGAAATGCAATTACATTGCATACCAACACCAAAGGATAATCTATAGTGAGAATACAGCGCTGTCCCTCCAACAACTGCAATGTATTAATAGTGTGACTTTCTATCCCTACACTCTCAGAAAAAAAGGTTCAGAATTATACTTAAAGGGGTAGATCCACTTGTCACTGTCGTGGTACCCTGTAAGGTACGTCCAATGTACCATTAGTTACTGTATACTGTAGGTACATAGTTGTACCCTTGCAGTTCATACCTTAAAAGAGACAATAGTGTACAATATAGTTCACACAGGTACAAAACCGTACCTTTAGAAAAGGTACACATTTGCCTTTTTAGGTTACCACCACAGTGACAAAGCGGTTTGTTTTTAAGTGGCAAAAATGAATCTTTTCTCTATATCAAGTCACTCACGTGTACACGCCTCTACGCCATCCCACTTCTGACACACCTGACCGGGTCTCGAACCTGGGTCCAGCGACTGTCAAACCAACACCTTAACCATTTCACCAAGAGGTCCGTTACGCTTGACAAGGTCACTCAGTGTTAGGTTAAGGTCGCTACAATATTAATTACAGCACATGGTCTTATTAATTATTGTCACATGCTCTTATGTAAGCCTTTATGAAGACTTCAGAACTGGCAGTGGACATGCTCAAAATGTTATTTAAATAACCATAGACCACTTAAACTCGTAAAACACTTCCACTCACAGCTGGCCAAAAATAACTAACTGAAAGCCACGCCCCCACTAATCCACACCTCCACCCTGGGAAACAGAAATGTACCTTCACAGTATCCCTTTTTTTTAGAGTGTGTGATGATTGTAACTTTATATTCAAAATATTGGTTACAAAAATTTACCGTTATACTCGATTATGTACCCTAAAAGGTATCTACAGGTACAGTTGAAGTCGGAAGTTTACATACACCTTAGCCAAATACATTTAAACTCAGTTTTTCACAATTCCTGACATTTAATCGTAGTAAAAATGTGCTGTCTTAGGTCAGTTAGGATCACCACTTTATTTTAAGAATGTGAAATGTCAGAATAATAGTAGAGAGAATGATTTATTTCAGCTTTTATTTATTTCATCACATTCCCAGTGGGTCAGAAGTTTACAAACACTCAATTAGTATTTGGTAGCATTGCCTTTAAATTGTTTAACTTGGGTCAAACGTTTCAGGTAGCCTTCCACAAGCTTCCCACAATAAGTTGGGTGAATTTTGGCCCATTCCTCCTGACAGAGCTGGTGTAACTGAATCAGGTTTGTAGGCCTCCTTGCTCGCACACGCTTTTTCAGTTCTGCCCACAAACTTTCTATAGGATTGAGGTCAGGGCTTTGTGATGGCCACTCCAATACCTTGACTTTGTTGTCCTTAAGCCATTTTGCCACAACTTTGGAAGTATGCTTGGGGTCATTGTCCATTTGGAAGATCCATTTACGATCAAGCTTTAACTTCCTGACTGATGTCTTGGGATGTTGCTTCAATATATCCACATAATTTTCCTTCCTCATGATGCCATCTATTTTGTGAAGTGCACCAGTCCCTCCTGCAGCAAAGCACCCCCACAGCATGATGCTGCCACCCCTGTGCTTCACAGTTGGGATGGTGTTCTTCGGCTTGCAAGCCACCCCTTTTTCCTCCAAACATAACGATGGTCATTATGGCCAAACAGTTCTATTTTTGTTTCATCAGACCAGAGGACATTTCTCCAAAAAGTACGATCTTTGTCCCCGTGTGCAGTTGCAAACTGTAGTCTGGCTTTTTTATGGCCGTTTTGGAGCAGTGGCTTCTTCCTTGCTGAGCGGCCTTTCAGGTTATGTCGATATAGGACTCGTTTGACTGTGGACATAGATACTTTTGTACCTGTTTCCTCCAGCATCTTCACAAGGTCCTTTGCTGTTGTTCTGGGATTGATTTGCACTTTTCGCACCAAAGTACGTTCATCTCAAGGAGACAGAACGCGTCTCCTTCCTGAGCGGTATGACGGCTGCATGGTCCCATGGTGTTTATACTTGCATACTATTGTTTGTACAGATGAACGTGGTACCTTCAGGTGTTTGAAAATTGCTCCCAAGGATGAACCAGACTTGTGGAGGTCTACAATCATTTTTTAAAAGTTCTTGGCTGATTTCTTTTGATTTTCCCATGGTGTCAAGCAAAGAGGCACTGAGTTTGAAGGTAGGCCTTAAAATACATCCACAGGTACACCTCCAATTGACTCAAATGATGTCAATTAGCCTATCAGAAGCTTCTAAAGCCATGACATCATTTTCTGGAATTTTCCAAGTTGTTTAAAGGCACAGTCAACTTAGTGTATGTAAACTTCTGACCCACTGGAATTATGATACAGTGAATTATAAGTGAAATAATCTGTCTGTAAACAATTGTTGGAAATATTACTTGTGTCATGCACAAAGTAGATGTCCTAACCGACTTGCCAAAACTATAGTTTGTTAACAAGACATTTGTAGAGTGGTTGAAAAATGGGTTTTAATGACTCCAACCTAAGTGTATGTAAACTTCCGACTTCAACTGTTCATTATGTGTGTTTTTATATTTTTGTAGGGAAACAATACTGTACCCTAACCGTACCCTTTTTTTCTGAGAGTGTATAGACTGATAACAGTCCACAAAACAGTCCTAAAATTAAGCATTATAAGCTGAACAAGAAACAGTTGCTAATGTCAAAGCTAATACACCTACACATTATAGTCCATGAACCAGAGATCAGAATATCTTTAAAAAACATCTGGGGGGGACAATAGTGTCTCATAGTGTTATTTTCCAAGGTCTCTGTCCTCTAGAAATGGCAAAGGTGCACTTGTCAATGTAATTTTGCTGATGGGGCCAACATTGTTTGACACTCCTGACTTACAGTTTACAATGTGCTATCTCTTTCACACATTTTACCATGAAACATCAACTTCAGCAAAAAGTGATTTTATATCAGACATTACTCTGTGATTGATGTTCCTATGTTCTTCTGTCCTGTCCAGCAAAAGTCCCTGAGGGAAAAATGGTTGCTGGATGGAGCTGCTGGGTCGGAGCAGGAAGAGGCCAAGAAACAGCTGGAGGAGGATGAAGTCAAGCTCAAGGGGATGGAGGAGAACATCATTAGGTACGTCTACAACCCAGGAACACTGGTGTACCTACTACCTTTATATGTTTCTGGATTAATTATATATCTTTAGTTCACCAGTCTTTAACCAGGCAAAACCTGCTCTTAACATGGTCAAAGCTTGATCTCCTGTTCTCTCTATTTCATTTTGCCATGCCGGCTCTCTGGCAATGTGGCGCAGCACATTTGCTATGGTTGAGACCCTTATGCAACGTTTCTTTGAAACATTTTAATAAGACATAAGTTGAACTCTTAGCTGGAAAGGAGTATAGGCCTATCAGATGCTGCAAAGCACTCAATACCAGTTAGACAAAACTAGCCAGACTTAAGAGAGTGGGTGGGGGGTGGGGGGAATGGCAGAGGCAGTAATGGGGGTGCTCACTGGTGGAGAGACGAACGCAGACAACGTCTGGAACAGCACTCATCAATCTCTCCAGTACATAAAGGAGACCCAGTAGCCATGAGCCCCCACCCCCTCCCTCCTCCATCCAACCATTTTCTTTCTCACTCATAGCAAAACAGTGTCATCAATCTTCTTCTCTGGCAGTCCATTTCGCTGATTAAATTCCTCCTGGCTGCTGCAGCCCAGCCCTGGCAGAACGCTGGCGCTGGCTGGCTGTATTGGGGCTCAGACTGGGGCAACACAGGCACTAAACTGTCACAACTCCCAATGAGCAACGCCAGCTAACAATGGCCGCTGTCAAGGCCGGAGCTAGGGAGAATACAGAATGGGATAATGCTAAGGAGAAGCTATTGTCCCTATCCCAAATAAGCGCTTAATTCTGTTAGATAGGCCATAGCCAGGAAGGCCCCAGTGAGTATTTTTTTGGTATTTAACAATATGAGGACATTTAAAGGGATAGTTCACGGGTTTCTCTTTGGCTCTGAGCAATTCATTTTAGATGAAAAATATCAGTGTATCACCTTCCCAGTGGATGAGCTCTGTAGCTGGGTGTATACAGTGAGGGAAAAAAGTATTTGATCCCCTGCTGATTTTGTACGTTTGTCCACTGCCAAAGAAATGATCAGTCTATAATTTTAATGGTAGGTTTATTTGAACAGTGAGAGACAGAATAACAACAAAAACATCCAGAAAAACGCATGTCAAAAATGTTATGAATTGATTAGCATTTTAATGAGGGAAATAAGTATTTGACCCCTCTACAAAACATAACTTAGTACTTGGTGGCAAAACCCTTGTTGGCAATCACAGAGGTCAGACGTTTCTTGTAGTTGGCCACCAGGTTTGCACACATCTCAGGAGGGATTTTGTCCCACTCCTCTTTGCAGATCTTCTCCAAGTCATTAAGGTTTCGAGGCTGACGTTTGGCAACTCAAACCTTCAGCTCCCACAGATTTTCTATGGGATTAAGGTCTGGAGACTGGCTAGGCCACTCCAGGACCTTAATGTGCTTCTTCTTGAGCCACTCCTTTGTTGCCTTGGCCGTGTGTTTTGGGTCATTGTCATGCTGGAATACCCATCCACGACCCATTTTCAATGCCCTGGCTGAGGGAAGGAGGTTCTCACCCAAGATTTGATGGTACATGGCCCTGTCCATCGTCCCTTTGATGCGGTGAAGTTGTCCTGTCCACTTAGCAGAAAAACACACCCAAAGCATAATGTTTCCACCTCCATGTTTGACGGTGGGGATGGTGTTCTTGGAGTCATAGGCAGCATTCCTCCTCCTCCAAACACAGCGAGTTGAGTTGATGCCAAAGAGCTCCATTTTGGTCTCATCTGACCACAACACTTTCACCCAGTTCTCCTCTGAATCATTCAGATGTTCTGACACTATAAAGCCTTCATTGTGTGCATAGTTGCTCAAAAAACAAACATTTTAGATAGACTAGACAGAAATCTCAAACTGTTTTTGAATACTACAGATGGTGTGGAACACATTCTCAAACTGTTTGTGAGTGTCACTGACCATGGCTGTGTGTCAATGATCACGTTTCTCCCTTTTCTGCAGACTGGAGCAGGAACTGGAGGAGCTGGGGACAGGCGTCTCGGCGACCTCCACCAAAGAGAGTCTGACAGATGCAGCCAAGGAGGAGGAAGCCAAGACAGCCGACAACAAAGTGAGTCTCCCCCACCCCACCCCACCCCGAGTCAGCTGGACACATCAGGTTCACCAGGGACACACACTATTGGAGACAAGAGTATTTGCCTAGGGTGTGTGTGTGTGTGTGTGTGTGTGTGTGTGTGTGTGTGTGTGTGTGTGTGTGTGTGTGTGTGTGTGTGTGTGTGTGTGTGTGTGTGTGTGTGTGTGAGTGTGTTGGGGGGCATGTTTGAAGTAGGAGAGTGGGAATCGAGGAACGGGGGACGTTTAGGGGGCCGGACTGCCAGAGCAAGCCTTGGGCCATAAATGAAAGCAAAAAAAAACGGTGTGTACCGTAACTGGCCTTGTGATAGACTGACAGTGACATGTCCACTTGAGCAAATGCCATCTTGATATTATGCCATCAGTAATATCATTAGTGACAGTCCGGATGGGCCTGGAGAGTCAGACACTGGGTCTGACAAGCAGTGTGTGGGGAACAGTTGTTGACAGGAGGGGGGCTCTTGCCCAAAGGGTAAGTCCATATTGACAGCACACACTGGGTAGCTTTTAGCATGGGGGTTTCATAGCAATGGCTAGAAAAGATGCTCTGTGTCTTCTGTCTCCCTCTTGAACTCATTGGCTCTTTCCTTCACGAGTCAATATCCACTTCCTCAAACCATCCATCCTGGCACCGCTTTCCTCAAAGGGAAAGTGCTTATTTAATTTGGCATCTCTTTCTACCTCAATCGTTTTTCTTGCTTCCTTGTCGGCCATGTTTTTTATGGTGTACCTCAATGGAAAATATGTTCCTTCCCTCAAACTAGGTTTTCAAAGAAATATGTTAAATATGTGACACAATGTTCATTAATTATGTAGCTATGGTTTTGAATAAGAGTGTCTCTTCAAGAAGCAAATCCAATACCTCATAGCTGTGGGTTGTCAGTAGAACCGTTTCACTCAATCTTATAGTATTTTTTTAAACGGATGCTATTCGACTGTGTGGCTCCTGATGATTCATATTGCAGAAATAGACCCACCTTCTATACTTGTGTGGTGAAGTTTGCTGCAGTAATACAAAGTTCTTTCTAAAAATGGAAAGCATGCCATTTACCTTACAGTGTAGAATGGACTGAAAATCCACTCCAACTTTCTGAGGAAGACAGATAAGTGTAGGAGAAATTCTAACCTGATAATATTTTTTATCTGACTCTATATTCCAGGTTTTTTTCTGGATAAAAAAGGGGTTTAGGTGGTGGGCGTGGCAAAGGGCGTGGCAGGATGTGCGGTCGTCCGGTCAGCGCAGCTGAATTTCAGATAACATTTTAGAGGCCCCCATCTTGGCGGTGTAGACAATTGTTTGCATTTGTAAGGCAATTTCCTGCCATTCTACGAATTTCTCCATGGAGCTGAGAGAAAAGTTGCCAATTTTAAAGCTAATTTCCTGCAATTCTACACATTTTGCCATGCAGCTGAGAGAAAATGTTGCAGTTTTAAAGCACATTTCTTGATATTCTACATATTCTGCCATGAAGCTGAGAGGAAATGTTGCAGTTTTAAAGTAAATTAAAGTAAATCTGGTTTTAGTCATTTAAGTTTACACTGAAAGTGCTTTTAGCAAGGTAGCAAGCCTGTGCATCGCCTGGCTCAGAAAACTATCATGTACATGTGTCTAGAAAGAGCCGTTAGATAACTATAATGTACATGTGTCTAGAAAGAGCCATTAGATAACTATAATGTACATGTGTCTAGAAAGAGCCATTAGATAACTATAATGTACATGTGTCTAGAAAGAGCCATTAGATAACTATAATGTACATGTGTCTAGAAAGAGCCGTTATGCAATTAACAATACCTAGATACTTTGAGCTGATTCTAGTGAACAGAGCTCTAGAATTAAATTAATTGAGTCAAGTTTAGAGTAGAGGAGGAAAGGTGAAAGCATACGATGTGTAGTGCAATTAACTTTACCATTAGACCTTTACATCAATCATTACCCTAAAGTATGAATATTACTACTGTATGCATCCAATTTAAAAGTAATGCAATAAGAATACAATTATCAAAAGAGTGCATACCATAAGTCTTCAATATAAGGTAAAAAATATATCAGTCTGTAACATAGCATATACTGCAACTATGGCGTTACAAAGTATAGCCAGGAGATTACAACGACACCCTACCTAGGGCGGAATCCGATTTCCATAACCCCAAGCATATTTTACCTTTTAGCAGACACTCTTATCGAGAGCGACTTACAGTTAAGTGAGTGCATACATTTTCATACTGACCCCCTGTGGGAATCAAACCCACAACCCTGGCGTTGCAAACGCCATGCTCTACCAACTGAGCTACATCCCTGCCGGCCATGCCCTCCCCTACCCTGGACAACGCTGGCTAATTGTGCGCCGCCCCATGGGTCTCCCGGTCGCGGCCGGCTACGACAGAGTCTGGATTTGAACCAGGATCTCTAGTGGCACAGCTAGCACTGCGATGCAGTGCCTTAGACCACTGCGCCACTCGGGAGACTTATATAATTAGCATCACTCTACTGGCCAGAAACAATAGAAACTAAAGGCATACAACTTCACAAACATGACCTAATCTAATCAACACAACTTAATCTAAATAAATGTGCCGCTCCAGCTTTGAACTGACTGCCGTCCGGCGAAACAGTTTAGAACAGCAACTCTGAAAAGAGAAATCCATAACACGTACAATAAAGTGTGTCATGTAAAAATGTTCAGCTCTTTATGAGCTATTGAAATAATCCAAACGTGAAAATTAAATTCAGGGGCGCAACTTTCACTTTCATATTATGTCGTCCCCGTCCCCCCCGTCCCCCCACCACTTCTAATACCAAAGTTGCGCCCCTGATTCAATTCATACAGTTACATTTATTTATGTCAACTCAAGTTTCATCAGCCTTCACTCCTATGAGGGCGCCGTAACCCTTGGGGAACGTTCCTGCCTGGAGAAAGCAGCGGGCGTAGGTGTGCTTCATTCCTATGATGTGTAAACATATGGCCATCCATCCGGACAGTGCCATAAATTGTGATTGAATCATCATGCTGTGCCTTGGCACCAGCAAGTCACCGACGCAAGGGTCACCCTCTCTCATTCTATACACCATACAATGTGTTTTCTGGGTTTGATCATGTGTTTTCTGGGTTTGATCATTCGTTTTCTGGGTTTGATCATGTCTTTTCTGGGTTTGACACTGGATTTTCTGAGTTTGATGCTCTACGATGAATGGATTAAAATACTTTTTTTTTTTTTCTCTCTCTCTCTCTCTCTCTCTCTCTCTCTCTCTCTCTCTTTCTCTCTCTCTCTCTCTCTCTCAGGCGGCTCCGGCAGGCACTGTGCAAGGTAACACATCTTCTTCCTCATTCCTCTCCTCTTTCACAAGTCTTTTGTGTTTGTCTCTCTTTCTCTCCCTCCCTCTCTCATTCTCACCCCACTTCCTTGTTCGGTGACCACTTATAGAGGTCAAGGAAGTGCTCAAAGTAAACAACAGCCCTCGTCTGGACATGTCCGGAGGTGCCTCAGGTATAATGAAAACAGGTGAGTCTCGGTACCCTGTAGCTCACATACTGAGACACACTGTAGAGAGACATCTTAGAGAAATGTTTTGCCTCTAGATTCACTCTAGATTATAATGTCATGCTAAGCATATTAAAGTGATGTTATTCCTTTCAATGTAAAACAAAATGAGAGGAATATATTCCTTGTTTCATTCAGGAATATATTAATTGATTCATAGTCAATTGATACGTTATTGACTGATTATATTAATCATATAAATTGTATCTGTGCAATCAGACATGCAATAGAGCCCATTTTTGTCCGAAATGGAAGACATCTCAATAAGATTCTATTGGAGTCTTCTATCTTTATCTGTCTTTTTCCCAAACCTGGGCACCTCCTCTGTGTTTGTCTCTTTCTCTCTCTTCTCACTCTTTCGCTCTTTCTCTCTCTCCTCTCTCTTTCTCACCCAACTTCCTTGACTGCTTATAGAGGTCAAGGAAGTGCTCAAAGTGCACAACAGCCCTCGTCTGGACATGTCCGGAGGTGCCTCAGATATAATGAGAACAGGTGAGTCTCGGTACCCTGTAGCTCACATACTGAGACACTGTAGAGAAACATCTTAGAGAAATTCTGCTTTTTCACTCTCTTTTTTCTTTTTTCAAGTCTTAAACATAGATGCCTCTTAACATAGATCTGAGTACAACATCTGATGTCAGCTTTGTATAATTTAGTTACATTTATGATTTTTCTAATAAAAAAACTGTCATTACCAAATAATTATTGACATTGATAGATATTACAGTGTTAGAGAATCTCATATTAACCCATAACCTAAATCTGAATTTTGTTGCACAAAATGGCATTGCCATCTAGTAATTAAACAATCTATAATTTAGCAAATTTTTAGTCATTTAGCAGACACGCTTATCCAGAGCAACTTATATGAGCAATTAGGGTTAAGTGCCTTGCTCAAGGGGACATCGACAGATTTTTCACCTAGTCAGCTCGGGGATTTGAACCAGCGCCCTTTCAGTTACTGGTCCAACGCTCTTAACCACTAGGCTACCTGCTACGTCAATATGTAACTCCGACGTGGAACTCATTATTATAAACACAAGCAGTTTGAATGGCTGGGCAGTAGCTCCTCAAGAGTGCTGTCAGCAGTATCACATCTAATGTAACACATCATCGAATCTTCATTTCGATGACATTTTCATTGAATGACAGCAACATGATACCGAAACGCTTGACAATTTACCCCACTGTCATACACAACACCTCAGTATAGCTCAGGATATTGTAATCACAAACAGCTACAGATGGCTGGGGACAGCTTCACCTCCTATCCAGGGGGCTTTTCAGCAGTGTCATAACGGGGCCCTTGGCCCTCCTTCCTCCTCCTCCTTCCTCCTTCTCCTTACATGTGGGCATCTGTCCCCTTTAATCAAACATTCGCTTTCATCAGCCTCACAGTAGCCCTGAAAGGAGAGAGGGATTCCACTGAAAGGCTGTACTCCACAATGAGGCAGTGACTAATGAGTTATTTTACTTATTGAGCCCAGGTCCCCATACATCTCCCATCTAGAGAGCCCTTTCTGAGCAGGGGGGTGGAATGGGGCTACTTATTGTTCGGTTTAATCAAGACCTGCTGGGATGAAATGCAAATTGCCACGCTTTCCTGGATTAGTTTGTTTTGGTAACATTGATGGTGTAATACTGCCATCATATAACAGCTAAATAACTATCAACTAAGAAAGGAACATAGTATGATCACTATACCCAGTACATACCCCACTCCCTGCAGGGTCTCAGGGGGAGTTGGGATATGCATGAAACACATTTCCATTACACACATGTACAAGTGTCCATCCACAACTGTGTAACAAGACATATAAACACCCCCCAAATTAGTATTATTATAAACAAATAATAGATATACATTAGATATCTAGAAGCTAGATACGTTGATATGGAACAATACAATATAAGGGGACTGTTATGGGGGATCAATACAAGGGGAATGTTATGGGTGATCAATATAGAGGGACTGTTATGGGGGATTAATATAGAGGGATTGTTATGGGGGATCAATACAAGGGGACTGTTATGGGTGGGCTACCTGCCACCCCATGATACATGATACATCTACCAGTTCCATGCTGTGAAAAGGATGTACTGTAGTGCTTGAATGTACTGTAGTGCCTGAATGTACTGTAGTGCCTGAATGTACTGTAGTGCCTGAATGTACTGTAGTGCCTGAATGTACTGTAGTGCCTGAATGTACTGTAGTGCCTGAATGTACTGTAGTGCCTGAGTATACATCGGCACACTATGTGAATGTGAATGTGTGGGTGGGAAGGTTAAACAGTATTCCCAGCACATAGTCACGTGGGAGGAACTATTTTAATGACAGACCACTCGGGTATTTCATCATAGCTAAGTACTCACGACACCTTTAGGAGAAGACAAAATCAATTAGAATGCCATACAACATGTTGCATTCTCTGAAGTGATTTGGTATACTGTATTTCATGTCCTCTATTTATTGTCACTCTCAGTCGTGTTTCTGTACTGTATTTTCCCCTAACATTTGTCTTCTGTCCTAATCTTCACAGTGATCAACTGTCTGTCTCTCTGTGTTTGTCTATCTGTTTGGGTGTGTGTGTGTATGAGTTTGTGTGAGTTTGTCTCTCTGCCTGCGTGTTGGTCTGTTCTTATTCATTCTTGTGGACATTCAATGTGATTTGTGGCTAAAGGAGTTAAAAAAAGTAGAGTAGTGCTTGTAAAGAGATGGTATACTGAGTATTCAGTTCTCACAGTATTTATGTTGTGTGGAGATACCCTATATGTAGTTATTATCAGATGATGCGATGTTGCCAAGGCAACGCAGCTCCGCTAAAAAGTATAACTTCTCTATCTGTCGTCATGGCAGCGTTAGATTCACACACAGTGTGCACATTACAACAAATTATAGTGTTGCTTTCAAAAAGCAAAGTAGTTTCACAGTCTCAGCTGTTGCGTAATATCATAATTATCCAAATGACATGCATTTTGTACATGCTTTCCTTACAACCTGGTGTGCATGTAATTCGGCAAACATATGGCTTACCTTTTTCATCCAGGAGCTACCCCAGTCAAAGGAATATCATGAATTGTAGTTATGTTTACTTTATGTGTGTTGGTGTTACATGGGCATACTGATTGGTGGCTAGTATAGACTGATTTAGTATGGCTTTTAGTGGAACATTGTAGCATTGTTGTGTATAGTGGTTGTCTTTAAAAAATACAAAAAAGTGATTGAATAGTGAATGGTTATTAGTGGAACTGCTGAGTGTCTAGTCCTGTTTATATATAGTGGTAGAGAGATGATGTGGCTGTGTGGTACAAATGACAGAAAGAGAGAGAGAGAGAGAGATTGGCTATGTAGTTTGTAACATATAGATGTTTGGGATGACTGTGAGTGTGTGTGAGAGGGAGCGTGAGAGAGGACACCTCTGCAGGGCCCTAACGTCTCCTCTCGTTGACACCCCATGCACCCAGCGATGTACTCAGTAGAGATCACCGTTGAGAGGGACAATGTCACGGGCGAGACTAAGGTGTTGTCCACCAACACCCTACTGCCCATTAACCTCTCTGGGCAAGGGGTCAAGGTGTATGAGGATTACCAGAAAGGTGATTTCCCAACATGATTCCAACAGCAAACGGAGACACTCAGCTAAGACATGCAAAGTGAATGCCTTTACGAGAAGTGTTAACAGCTATGATAGAATACTGTTTTATGTACAAGAACAAATTTATAACAATAATATCACAAGATTAAGATATAATCTGAGATAAGTATACCTAAAATTCTATTTATTACAGACATTGCTTGTTTGATCGTAGCCAGTTAAAGACATAGGCTACATCTTGTGGTTCAATAAACTTCATAATGTATTTCCACTTGGCTATAAAAGCTTCCCATATACTCTGTCTCATATAATGATTGGCATGAATCCACTCATTGACTGTAGATATTATTAACGTGATTTTACTTCTCATATAGCAAAAGGACTACATACAGATGTAGGATGTTAATTTCATCACCCTGTTGCAGGAGATCTTTCCAGCAATGCAGGAAATGTTTAACGTGTAGTGTATTTGAGGCTTCTGAAGTTTTTAATATCCACTTAAAAATTTCAGACTTGATTTTTCCTTACGAAAAATGTATTTACCCCTACAAAAATGTCTATTCATTATAATCAACATAATAATGAACATTTCCTGTTGATGCAGGATTATTTTCCTGCTGTAGCAAACTGGCTCATATTAAGATCCTACATCTGTAGTTAAGCATAGCATGACACAGTGTTGCAGGGTGACCAATAAGTCCATCCCTACTTATAGACCTGCTTTTCAGCCAATAACTCTAATTCAATAGTTACATTTGTGAATGTGAACTTGGGCTATTATGTATTGGTACAAAAAACTGTCAATACATTGAAAACCAATTTGAAATGGTCCTGTTGGTCTCCCTGTAGCTGTTTTAGTTCACCTGCTGGTATTGGGCATGATCCTTCCCTACACCCCACCCGCCACAACCAACACATCCCCACTGGTCCTCTCACTTCTTTGGGAGTGCAGTGTCAGGTTTGGACCTCTAGAGCCGGTTTCCCAGACCCAGATTAAGCCTATTCCTAGACTAAAAAAGCACTCTCAATGGAGATTCTCTATTGAGTATACTTTTAGTTCAGGGGTAGGCTTTAATCTTGGTCTGGGAAACCAGCCCATCATGTCTTAGGTTGGTGATAGTGCCCTGAAGGTCCGAAGAATGAACCCTCTGCTGCATAGCCAAATGTTAGTGTTGGCGTAAGGCTAAGGGCGAGGCCAGACTGGCCCGTTGATTTTATCCGTAGCTGTGATTTCCAATGCTTTCTCAATGGGAGTTGATGGTTAGCAGAGATGTCTATAGAATTTCCATCCATTTTCACGGACCAAAAGTTCAGATGAGTTGACCTTTTGATGGGCCGAAGGATACATAACCATCCGTTTAGCCAATTAGAAAAGAGGAGGCGTTTTAAGTCACACACTCCACACGCGCACGGACCAAAATGAATATTTTTTAATTTGGTGTCCGTTCTCCACGGATCAGTCTGGCCTCCTCCTGTATGAAGACTACAGCTCTACTTTCTCTCCTAGTCGTATCCATCCACCTCATCCTGTATGGAGACTGCAGCTCTACTTTCTCTCCTAGTCGTATCCATCCACCTCCTCCTGTATGAAGACTGCAGCTCTACTTTCTCTCCTAGTCGTATCCATCCACCTCCTCCTGTATGGAGACTGCAGCTCTACTTTCTCTCCTAGTCGTATCCATCCACCTCCTCCTGTATGAAGACTGCAGCTCAACTTTCTCTCCTAGTCGTATCCATCCACCTCATGAGTCTCTTCTGTTAGTGACACATCTGTCGCTCTCCATCTCTCTCTTTCTCATAGTGGTACACGAGGTGAACGGGGAGAACGGGGTCCACCAGCTCAGCGCCAACGAGGTGGACGAGCTCATCCACAAAGCTGACGAGTCCATGATGAGCGACGCCACCACCGCTGGCGCCACCTCCACCGCCCCCGTCTTCCCCACCGACGCTGAGTTGGCCGCCGAGCAGCAGACGACACCCCAGAAGGAGATCACAGGCATGGAGGCCAAGGCAGGCGGCGCCAGTCCCCAGCCAGGTGGAGGCGAGGTGGAGGCCAGCGCCGAGAACCCTGTCACTATGGTGTTCATGGGCTACCAGAGTGTGGAGGACGAGGCGGAGACCAACAAGGTGCTGGGCCTGGAGGGCACCGTCAAGGCCGAGCTGGTGGTCATCGAGGACGGCAAGGGCAAGAATGTGATGGTGGGGCCCACTCCAGCCACCGTGACCGTCACAGAGGGAGGCGCCAAGGAAGAGCAGTCGCCCCCGCCCAACGGCAGCGCCGCTGACCCCACCAAGACCCCCCAGGAGACGGCCTCTGCGGGGGAGAAAGGGGGAGAGCCAGAAGGGGGCGCTACTGAGCTCAACAACAAGGAGAAGCAGCCTTGCAAGTGCTGCACCATCATGTGATTCCTCCCTGGAACTTGACTTTTCAAGGAGAAATGACAAACCAACAACAACCATAACGTCATGAAAACCAACAAAAACTCCCCCCCCCACCCGAAAAAAAAAAGGCATAAATGTTCTTTATCTTATGATAGCCGGCTGTTGTTTCCCGACTTCATTTTCATCTACGTTTTAGGTCTTTTATTACATTTTTCTAACTTCTTTCCTTTCTATTATTTCAGGTTTTGTTGGTTTGTTTGTTTTTTGTTGTTGCCAAGGTGAGCAATCCCTGCGTTCTCATACTTTGAGATTGCTGAGGTAGAGAGGAGATAGAAAAGGAAGGAGAGAAGGAGAGAAGGAGAGAAAGAGAGAAGGAAAGAGGAAGGGGTTTGTTCACTCACCCAGCATTGTCCAAACAAGCATTTTTTTGAAATGACATCTCTTATACACCGCCATGATTTTTTTATCTTAACTTTCTGTATGAAGGACAGATATATCTCTTTATATATCTATATATATATACATTGTTTATTTTAAAGATATATTTATTGGACGTTTTTATTTTTTGAAAATGCCCTCTGGAAACAGAAGCATGGTATTCATTGTTTTTTCTGTCCTGTGCTAGTGCATTTTAGATAAAAACTGGGAAATAATTTTCTCAACACTTGGAATATTTATGTGAGAGAATTCTCTTGGATTTTCTTTTCCAGAAAAAAAAGAAAATAAAAGTGACTTTGGAATGTCTGAGACAGACACAACACTGATATTTTGAAGTGACATGCAATGAGACGTCAGTGATATTGATGACATCGAAGTACTGTGTGCGTGTGTGTATGAGCATGCATGAATGTGTGTGGGTGTGTGTGTGTTGGATTAAAATTACCTCATTGGTCCTTATATCATCCTACACTACACTACCCACAATCCCCATCACCTCTTTTCTTTCTGGAAGAAAAACGATCCACGCTATTTTTGGTGATTTTCCTGCAACCAAATCAACTAGACTAGTTCGACAACACTAGTAATGAATTTAATAACATGCGTGAAGGTCATTCATACCGAAGCTTGAGACTGATGAAATGAATGCCCCTGTGTAAGGCTTCATGTTTGTGTGGTTCACCCCCACTTAACTACATTACCCAGAATACCACTGCCCCTTTAAAATAAATAATGTTGCTTACAGCTGCCTTTGTGATAACGTTAACTACTTTTCTTTAACTCATTGACATAATCCAAGCTCTGGCACCTGATGTTATGACCTAGCTACTAACAGCTGTGTTTTTAAATGATGGTCAGCCTGGACAGGCCCTTCCAATGTCCCGAAGATTTTTGGCTGGATATTAACTACTGTGGAATTGGTGCATAGAGCATAGTCTGTTGTTTTAAACGGCAGCGCATATCCTACCAAACTGTGTTGCAAATACTGCAAGAAGTTGCTGCATTCAGACATTGAGGATGAGTGCCATTTGGATGGGGGTCGGGGGTCATATGTTCCCCTCAGAGTCTGTGTGGGAGGAAATTCATTATAAGAGTACTTGGTTTCCTGTTTTCCTGTTTGAACTCTACTGTCAGGCCTTGGTTTTGTCATTTGTCAACGAAACCAAAGAAAACAGTTCAAGTAGGCCTACTTTTCATTGTGTATCTATCACAGGAGGTTGGTGGCACCTTTGTTGGGGAGGACGGGCTTGTGGTAATGGCTGGAGCGGAATTGGGGGAATGGTATCAAATACACCATACACATGGTTTCCATGTGTTTGATGCCATTCCATTTGCTCCGTTCCAGACATTATTATGAGCCGTCCTCCCCTCAGCAGCCTCACTGGTATCTATCTATCAACATGTTAGACCTGAGGCAAAAAGCAGGGAATTTCAACGTCTACATTCCAATACGTTTTCAGAATCCTTTCCCACCATCCTCTGAGTGGTCAATTTCGCTCCAAATTTTCAGAGAACAATAGATGTTTTTGCAGTGTGGCTACATTTCAACAGCTGTGTTTTACTTACCCTCGGCTTTTGTGTGTGTTTGTTAGCTGCGTTACGAGTGCCTGTAGCTATAGTATTTTTTACATCTTACTTATTTTTGCCATTTTGGTGCCACATTTTCAGCTGAGCTGAGGGTCATGTTATCATTGTCCAGTGTATTTTTCCAGTGGTGAGTTGAGTCAGTTGAGTTGGATTAGCTAAACTAGGAGTCAGATCTTTTCAACCGACTCACTGACACGCTCATATGTAACCGTGGTCCATGTATTATTATTCTCATCCGAAATAAAACAAACATTTTGTTTCCAAAGATGGTCTGCCTTATCTTGAAGTGAGTCCAAGAAGTGAGCTCTCTTTAGCCAGAGGTTGGCCAACTTTGCGTAATATTAGCCATTCCTCTTTTAATATTGTTCCATGTGTATTTATACCTTTCCATTGATATTTATAGAGCTCTATATGTTATTTAAAGGGTTCACATCTTTGTGAAGGTTCAAATCAAGAACATGATGGACAATAGATTAAAAATAACCAGGTCTGATAAGCCTTGTCAAAATTATGTTGGAGAATACAGTGCACTATAGAAAGAAACCAAATGGAACATCTATTAATTTCAATTTGATCATGTAAAATATATAATGAAATAATCTACTTTGCCAATCCCCTTCAATCCCACTTCCTCATGCTTGTTCAAAGGGGCAAGGCAATCATTGATAGGCCGACACGTCCTTCAATATGCTGCTCAGCATCCAGCAAGGAGCATAAAAAGCTGACTCAGTGTACAGTGAAATGTGCGTTACTCTATAGGAGTGGTTCCCAGCCTTTCTCGGATACTGTACCACCAACTAAATGTTGCTCTGCCTGGAGTACCCATGTACATTTTACCAGTAGGCCTATGGTCTCATGAGTCTTCTCAAGTACCCCCTGTGGATAGGCCAAGTACCCCCAGGGGTCCTAGTACTCCTGGTTGGGAACCACTGCTCTATAGGACAGTCACACTATCTGTAGTGTTGGTCTAGAACACGTCCGATAAAAAACACTGACTTCGAATTCACTCAGGCATCGCTGACGACCAGTCCTCGTCGAGTAACATTCCCACACTGCTGGATCCAAATCTATGCAAGAGAGCTGCTAACATTAACATCAGCAAAATCATCATATAGGTATAGCATTTAGGACTAGCTACTGCAGCAGCACTGATAACAGCCTTTTAGTTCATCAGCTTATCACACAAAAATCTAAAAGGGCAAGCATTGAACCATGGCCCATCCTTTCCTTGGTATAAGATTATGCCTTTTCATTTCCTAAATATCTGCATGCTAACAGTTTACTACACACACACACACATATATATATATATATATATATATATATATATATATATATATATATATATATATGGCTCAGCCTCAGTGGCTGTTGGCATAAGTTTGATTTGTCAAGCTCAATATGAAAGGTGGAAAGAAGATTTCATATGTTGGCACTGCCAACCTGGCAGCACATGTTGGGATGGATACATGTGGGTTGTGTGTTTCTGTGGTGCTAAATCATTGATACTGTCATATCTGACAGCCGAAGTTTAGATATTATTTTAGATTGTATTTTCTGCAGCTTGTGTTTCAAGAAAATCACTGATATTTCTATTTGCAATAGGAAATAGTGTAAGCAAGAGTAATTTGCTAGACCCATCAAGCACACCTCAACAAGGAAGTGTTTAATCGGTTACATTCCAAGCTTATTTGAAGCAGCAACTAGGTGTTCTGTTTTCAAAGTTTTTATTTTAAGATAACACGCAACATTCATCTCAAAACGGAAAAACATGAACAGTCATACATCTCTTTATTCTAACACAAACTGACTGTACAAATGCACTTAGGGTGGTCAAACTGAAACCCTGGTGTTCCTGGTATAAGAAATCGCCCATACCATTAGAGTCAGAGAGAACATTGGTGACCATAACCTAATCAAATTTGTCCATCCACAATGAAATATGGTGACACTTAAGTTAAAAAAGGACTTGCATAACACCTTCATAACATTTCTTTAGAGGAAATAATTACTTTTCACTTTGAGAGTGACTTGGAAAACAACATGACACTGTTCATTTTCTCTGCTCTATTCACACTGTTGATTTTGCTGTCTTCAACAACTTTGAGCTTGAAGGTTAACGAATGTCAATGTCAATGAAGGGTAATGAATGCCAATTATGTTCTTATGAAGGGTAGTGAATGTATCCACTAAAGTGCTGATCCATCCTAACCTACTGAGCAGTGGGTGGAAGTTACTCTTAACCACTGATGCAGGGTCAGATTTGTTTTTATCCCTAATGGCTAAGGTTAGGATTGGGGGCTAGGGTAATCTGATCCTAGATCCTGTTGAATACCCAATACCTCTCCTTCCTTGGCCCCTCCCTCTTGCTGAGCTTGGTGCAGCGGCAGTGAGGCTTGTCGCCCCTGGCAACTCTAGCCCCTCCCACTCTCTGCACTGCCGGTGCCATGGTTACCTCATGACTCTGGCTCTGCAACAGCGCCCCCTGTTGGTTCTTATCAATATTTACATTCCAGTTCCGACTTTCTCTCTCTCTACACAACCCCAAATGCCTTGTAGTCTGGCCCCAGGTCAGGCATCTTTTTTGTAAATGTATATATAAATATCTACATATAAATGTCCTTGTGCAAAACAAAATGTCTGTCGCTCTCTCGTCCTCTTGTGTAGACTCCTAGATCTCTGTGCTCATGGCAGTCAGTCAGTGAAGGGCCCAGGTAATAGAGTGGGTGTCCACACACTGCTGTTCTTCTTAATGCTTTGTTAGTTGTGAAGGTCTGCTTTCTTACAAACTGGAAAGTGCTGTAGAGGAAAGTGTTTGAAACAACAAATAAAAATGTGACGTCTCTCTCGGTCTCTGTTTTTGTATTTCTTCCCTCCATCAGTACATATTTGTGAAAGTGTATGCAGGTGTGTGTGAATGTGTGTTTGTGTGTGTGTGTCTTTAGCCTCAGTTCTTAGTCTAAAGTTGAAATCCTCCTTAAGCTTTGTAATGCTCTCGAAGGCCTGCATTGTGAAATCCTCACAGTTCTTTCCTGTGAGCAAAGGTCCTGTCCACCTATCCACCAAAATGCAATGTTTTTACACTGCTAATCTAGGAGCTGCTGCAACATTGTCACAGCCATTGTCATTGACACAGTGACCTGGCTACACAGTCACTGTTGGCAGAGGTGGGATTGTGTGTGTGTGTGTGTGTGTGTGTGTGTATGTGTGTGTGTGTGTGAGAGCATGTGCACGGAATGTTCCTCTTTTGTTTGGCACTTTTTGATGGTCAGCAGCATTCCAATGCAATTCCCCTGCCCTCAGCAACACACACATGGCCGCTGCTGGAAAACACAACGGAGCGGTCACGCTACACCCCTCCCCCACCACAACCGCTCAATACCTCTGCACTAGCAGCTTTGATGGACAGGGGTTGAGGGGGGTTTTAGGAGGGGGGCGAGTGACAGGTACTGTGTGTGGGGGGTGGGGGTGGGGTAACAGGGAGGGGTCTGGTCAGGGCCAAACCCAGGACCACAACACCAGCGGAGCCCGGAGACCCAGCTGTTAGGCCTGACACAGTGGGGGGGCGCAGATCCAGACGGTGCTAGATCATCTGCTTGAGAGGAGCCGTGGGTGGAATGAAGAACACCTGTTGGAGAACCCAGAGGTCTAGGAGGGGAGGTCTAGAACCGGGAGGTGAGTTATAGAATCAATCATATAATGTAAGGAGAGAATGATTCTCCATCTATTTTGAAAATTGGGGACTTGTATTTGTATTTATTAGGGATCCCCATTAGCTGCTGCCAAGGCAGCAGCTACTCTTCCTGGGGTCCAAACACATTAAGGCACTTACATTACATTTAAACAAAAGATAAAACAGTATATCATATAACATTGTTACACCACTACATATCTACAATACAAAATGTTTAATACCACCATACAACAATATCACAATGTATGCGTGTGTCTGTACCTTTGTGTGTGTCTCTTCACAGTCCCCGCTGTTCCATAAGGGTCATTTTTACCTGTTTTTTAAATCTGATTCTACTGCTTGCATCAGTTACCTGATGTGGAATAACGTTCCATATAGTCATGGCTCTATGTAGTACTGTGCGCCTCCCATTGTCTGTTCTGGACTTGGGGACTGTGAAGAGACCTCTGGTGGCATGTCTTGTGGGGTATGCATGGGTGTCCGAGCTGTGTGATAGTAGTTTAAACAGACAGCTCGGTACATTTAGCCTGTACACTTCTTACAAAAACAAGTAGCAATGAAGTCAATCTCTCTTCTACTTTGAGCCATGAGAGATTGAAATGCACTTTTAAGGGCCAGCTGTGCTGCCTTGTTCTGAGCCAATTGTAATTTTCCTAAGTCCCTCTTTTTGGCACCTGGTCCACACTACTGAACAGTAGTCCAGGTGTGACAAAACTAGCCTGTAGGACCTGCCTTGTTGATAGTGCTGTTAAGAAGGCAGAGCAGCGCTTTATTATGGACAGTCGTCTCCCCATCTTAGCTACTGTTGCATCAATATGTTTTGACCATGAAAGTTTACAATCCAGGGTTACTCCAAGCAGTTTAGTCACCTCAACTTGCTCAATTTCCACATTATTCATTACGAGATTTAGTTGAGGTTTAGGGTTTAGTGAATGATTTGAACCAAATACAATGCTTTTAGTTTTGGTAATATTCAGGACTAACTTATTCCTTGCCACCCATTCTGAAACTAACTGCAGCTCTTTGTTAAGAATTGCAGTAATTTCAGTCGCTGGAGTAGTTGACGTGTATAGTGTTGAGTCATCCGCATACATAGACAAACTGGCTTTACTCAAAGCCAGTGGCATGTAGTTAGTAAAGATTGAAAAAAGTTATGGGCCTAAACAGCTGCCTTGGGGAATTCCTGATTCTACCTGGATTATGTTGGAGAGGCTTCCATTAAAGAACACCCTCTGTGTTATGTTAGACAAGTAACTCTTTATCCGCAATATAGCAGGGGGTGTAAAGCCATAACACATACGTTTTTCCAGCAGCAGACTATGATCGATAATGTCAAAAGCCGCACTGAAGTCTAACAAAACAGCCCCCACAATCTTTTTATCATCAATTTCTCTCAGCCAATCATCAGTCATTTGTGTAAGTGCTGTGCTTGTTGAATGTCCTTCCCTATAAGCGTTGTGAGGTGTGTTCAGTGAATGTTTGCAGTAATCGTGGCTGAAAAATATTAGCCTGCAATAAAGGTTTGGGTGAAGAAACATACCAAGCGTACAAAGATATGGAAACCTTTCAAGCATGTAAATTTTTTAATTGCCAGATGAAGAAATAATAAAATATTAAAGACAATTAATAACCAAAATAGGTAACCATGAGTTTCACCAAAATGTTTGTTTAATCAATGTTTTATAGTTAAAAAAAAAAAGAAGGCCCTCAATCTCCTCAAATGTAATGTTCTGTCTCCTCTCTCTCTCTCTCTCTTCTTAGAGGGCCTGAGTTGAACTTGATTGCCCCCTGCACCTAACCTTGGATCCTGTTACACAGAGAGCTGCCGAACACATTTACCAACACACTGTAACACACAACAGCTCTCTCTCACACAGACACACACTCTGCAGGATGTTCAAGTACACCCCTCCTTGGCAGGTGCTTTGTAACAGCATGGAGCATGAGACCAAGGTAAGACAACCCTTACCACAAACACAAAAGACAAAATGACCGTTGTGGTTGAAACAAAAAAAATCCTGTTACCAATTTGTTTTGCCTTGACATCATTCTAGATGTTGCCTCATTAACCAACAGTTTTGGATCTTCATTGTTTGAGTTTTTGTACCACCGCCATTACAGCCTAGATTATTCTCATGGTTTCCATGCTCTTGTGCCAAAACTACTCCGATCATCATTGATTTAAAAGCATCTCAATAGTGCCCACTTTAAAATCTGTCACGTTACATCTGTCACGCATTTGATTCCTAAATGTATGACAATAGCGATGTAAAGTAGATATACCTCTACAATCACAAACCATTTATTTTCATTAGTAAGCTAAACTGAGATCCATATTATACGTCTTCATTCAGAGTGATAAAGTTGATTGAAATACTGTAATGATTAGTGTACACGCATATGCTAGTCACTAGAGAGCAGTGAATCTATTCTCAGTGTGAACATCCCCGTTTCTCCAACCTGAATGCTCTGCTCTGATTCTGATTCTAAATGGAAAGCCCTCTACTACGTACTTGGGCCCAAAAAATGTTATCTTATTTTGGCCGCGTCCCAAAACTTTTAAGTAGTTTAATTTCCTCAATAAGCACTGGTCAGGTGAATTAATTATTTAGCGGATGTCTCCCACCTCTCTGGTTGTTCAGATCAATGGCTAAATGAATGTGGCTACAAGAAACAATGGATCAGTATCTATTGTACTAGCTGGGTTTGATCACATAAACCATTAAATACATTTTCCTAAAAAACTATAGCAATCAGAAGTGGAATGGAGGTATAGAAAGGTATATTTGAAAAGGTGTATGTTTTTTTGCCATACGAGTCAAACACAAGTTTCTTTCCCTTAAGCTTTCCGACCTACTGCGGACCTGGCCCTGCCTGCTGTCATGTCCAGCCCACCTGTTGTAGTGTTAGTGGCTCTTGGCAAAGATTAATCTCAATTGCTAAATTGTCTTGTAAAACATAAAGGAAGCAGACTGGTGAGAGGGCGCTCCACCTCTACCCAGGTAATGATTGAAAAAGTAATGAACATTTAGAACACAGGCCACTATGACTCAAGCTCTTCACTGGACTGTAGCTAAGGCTGGGACATCCTCTTAGGTGGAACTTCAACATGCTTCTGTAACAGTTCACAGGCAAGACTGATAATGATGATGCCTCAGTATTTGTAAACAGTGTTACTTTCTGTTCTTGCTTCCTTGTGAGACCAGTGATAGGTAAAGGGAATGGATACGTGTCCATAACACCACATATCAAGTCATGCCAGTGGTCATGAAGGGAAGGAGAAGCTTCTGTTGAAAGCACTGGGACACTGATTCTCACCAGGAAATGACCTTACTCATTCCCTCTGGTCAGGGTTCTCCAACTCCAGTCCTGGAGAGTTGCTGGTTGAGCAGGCTTTTGTTTCAGTCCAGCACTAACCCACCTGTTTCAAATGATCAACTAATCACGGTCTTCAGTTTGGACCACAGCTCATTTATTCAGGTGTGTTGATGCTGGGATGGAACAAAAGCCTGCACACCCAGCAGCTCTCCAGGAGTTACGGAGACTACAGGAGGTTAGCGTTGCTTCTCCTAATGAGGTTGTCTGAGGTGGGAGGAAGGACTCAGCGACCTTACCAGAATATTCTGTTTTCTCTTGCAACAAAACCACTCTAGGGGCTCTATTTAATCTGTATGCATTAGTCGAGACTGCATTCACGGTAAATGCTGCAGATGTCGGATCAATATGAAATTACCTTTACATTTCTAGCACGCTATCTGTAACGCTTCAGCGATTCAGATTGAATAGAGCCCCAAGTTATTTTGTTTCAGTACACATTGAAATAGTCTAAGTTCTTTATGGCCCGATTGTTTATTATAAGAGTGATCTGGGTCCTCTTGATTGACAGTTTGGCCTTGGAGAGGTAAAAAGGTTTCTCTCCTACCAGTTGTTGGTATAGCGGTCTGTCAGTCTCATGTACTTCTCCCTCTTCTGTGAGAGGGTGTGACTCCACTAGCTTACATGACATTGGCTGAACTTTGCCTATGCTGTAGGGTGCTCAAGAGACCGGGAGAGAGAGAGAGAGAAAGACATCAGACAGAGAAGACAAACTTTTGGTCTTGTTCGCTGTATACTGCTTAAGGTAGGATTCATTACTTAATTATGTACTGTACAGTTTTCAGGTCAAATTCAATGTATTTCAATAGCATTATTGCGACTTACATTATAGATGAAGGTTGTTAATTTGATCACCCTTTTGCATGAGAACTTGCCTTCAATGCAGGAAATGTAAAACTTGTAGTGTATTTGAGGTTTTAAAAGGCATCTGAAGTTTTCAGACTTGATTGTCCCTTATGAAAAATGTATCAACCAATACAAAAATAATTATTCAAATTTCCTGTTGTTGCAGGATTATTTTCCTGCTGTAGCAAACTGGCTCAAATTAAGATCCTATATTTGTATACTTCTATACACTTTTTTTGTGGTGGCACCTTGCATACACCTGTCTCTGTAGCGACACAACCTATACCCATGGGAGCACTCTAGCACATTGTTTCTTTACAAAATTCTATATATTTTTTATTATTAGAGCTTTAATGAGAAGTTAGCATGGATGTCCTTCCAAGACATGTAAACTGGTTTGACATCTGTATGGTCAACAGACATAAGCTGCAGTAGCGGTGCGTGGGTAAAATCACTGGGGAAACCAAAACATATTACAACCTGTGTTGTGGTAATTGTGTTGTTTGCGCTATAACCTGTTAATTCATATGCCTTGTGACCGTGATAATAAGGGCTAAAGGCTGAGACAATAAGAAGACACAGTGGCAGAATAAATTCAACCACACCTTTGTTTTATCACAAAACCGGATAGCACCCTCTGTCCAGTGAAGTCCACAAAGCATATTGCATGTACAGTAACAGACAGTTACATGACCTACAACATGGTCAAGCAAGTTAATGTTTCCAACATTTTCGGACCACTAAACAACTATTGATTTAGAACCACAGAGTTACCGCATGTCCCAAAGAAAACAGGAGCTGCATCCATTATTCCAGCACCATTTCAACATGTCAACATCATCAAATCACCTCTGCTTAGTCAAATACAGTGACAACTAAAAGATACCAAAAATGATTTAGTCCAATCAACTTAAGCTAAATATGATGTGGCTGTCCATGGTTCTGATTTTAGCTAGCTGGCTAGCTAGCCACTGTAGGACAACATCACAACGAGATGCAACAATTCAAGTTTTTCTGTCAATGACGTATGCTCTCAATGGGATTTGATAGGAGTGACGCCAAATCCAAGCTGGCTTCCCTTGACACTTTTCTTTGGTGCGACAGGACCATTCACAGTTGAGCTCGCTCAGTTTAGCTCAACGCTGATTAGCTAATTTTTTATACTTTTTTTGTCAAGGGAGGCCAGATGCTTGCTGGCTTCCCTTGCCTTGAGTGCTACGGGAAGCAACAATGTCATACTTGTTTGGACCAGACAGCATCAGATAGATGGCCTACACGTAGAGAGACAGAGGGGCGCTGTTTCGCTCGCTCGGATGCTTTCGCCTGTGAGATACATTCAGCCTCTTGCGAATTGAAGGAAAATTATAAAACACAGAGAGACTAAATAAAAATATTGGTCCATTGTTTTGGGAAGCCTGACTTCCCTTGGCATCCATGAATACTTGGTAAGCTGTAGGGTAGGGTATGACAACATGTATTTGGGCATTTATTTTTGGACAGTCAAGAAGTACATGTATTAGACTTGAATACGTCTAAAGGTAATAACAGGGACAAATGTTATTGTATTATCTTGAGAGTCTATACATCTTGACTTTGGCCTTAGCTAATCCATGCTACAATAGGGTCATTTGTTGACTAATGTAAGTTTGTGCGCACACACACACACACAGCTACAGTGCCTTCAGAAAGTATTCATACGCCTTTACTTATTCCAAATGTTGTTGTGTTACAGCCTGAATTCAAAATGTATTCAATATATTTTCTCACCCACAATACACCATAATGACAAAGTGAAAACCTGTAAACAACTTATTGAAAATGAAATACAGAAATGTCTCATTTACATAAGTATTCACACCCCTGAGTCAATACATGTTAGAATCACCTTAGGCAGCGATTACAGCTGTGAGTCTTTCTGGGTAAGTCTCTACGAGCTTTGAACACCTGGATTGTACAATATTTGTCCATTATTCTATTAAAAATTATTCAAGCTCTGTCAAATTGGTTGTTGCGAGACAACCATTTTCAAGTCTTGCCATAGATTTTCAAGCCGATTTAAGTAAAAACTGTAACTAGACCACTCAGGAACATCCAATGTCATCTTGGTAGCAACTGCAGTGTATATTTGGCCTTGTGTTTTAGGTTATTGTCCTGCTGAAAGGTGTTGGGTGGAAAGCAAACTGAACCAGGTTTTCCTCTAGGATTTTGCCTGTGCTTAGCTCCATTCTTTTATTTTTTTTTATCTTAAAAAACTCCCCAGTCCTTAATGATGAAAAGCATACCCATAACCAATGTTCCCTCTTAGCTGCACGCATGCGCAGGCACGCAGCTCCCCTCAGACTGCTGTGCAGAATAAATAATCAGCCAGCGCAGAGAAGCACGAGATTGAACTTTCTAGAGTTTTCCCCTTTAGTTAACACTATCAATGTTTCGCTCTACTGTGCTCGATACGCAAAGCCCCCCCAGATAGTCGACCTTACCACCCGTTGGGGCATTTTAGTCGAGACTGCATTCACGTAAATGCTGCAGATGTCGGATCAATATGAATTAACCTTTACATTTCTAGCACGCTATCTGAAACGCTTCAGCGATACAGATTGAATAGAGCCCCAAGTTATTTTGTTTCAGTACACATTGAAATAGTCTAAGTTCTTTATGGCCCGATTGTTTATTATAAGAGTGATCTGGGTCCTCTTGATTGACAGTTTGGCCTTGGAGAGGTAAAAAGGTTTCTCTCCTACCAGTTGTTGGTATAGCGGTCTGTCAGTCTCATGTACTTCTCCCTCTTCTGTGAGAGGGTGTGACTCCACTAGCTTACATGACATTGGCTGAACTTTGCCTATGCTGTAGGGTGCTCAAGAGACCGGAGAGAGAGAGAGAAAGACATCAGACAGAGAAGACAAACTTTTGGTCTTGTTCGCTGTATAATACCGCTTAAGGTAGGATTCATTACTTAATTATGTACTGTACAGTTTGCAGGTCAAATTCAATGTATTTCAATAGCATTATTGCGACTTACATTATAGATGAAGGTTGTTAATTTGATCACCCTTTTGCATGAGAACTTGCCTTCAATGCAGGAAATGTAAAACTTGTAGTGTATTTGAGGTTTTAGCCTGTGAATTCTATCATGTTGATCAATTTAGCTCTTGGCAAATAGATATTGCATTAGATCTGTGATTCACTTGAAAGGACTGTGTTTTAGCATGGTCACAAGTAGATGACTATTTGGTATAAAAAACGAGCTGCATGTAGCCACCTGTGCACATTTGATCATATTATTTGCTAGTTAGTGAGTTATTAGCCCAGTTCTAGATAATTTCTAGTCAACAATGGGGGTGGTTGCTTCCTACAAGAGCACAAAATGTGTGCATTTCTAGCCATCTTTGAAAAGCAAGTCAGGTAAAGACCTTTTTTATGTCTTAAAGGGGCAGTGTTGTATTTCGAGACGGTATTGAATAAGCTAAGTAGCCAATAGAAAGAGGGTAGCATAATTTGTCTGTTTCTCTCTAATAATGGTATGGGAATTTTTTAAGTGGTTTCTTGCATCAAACAACAACATTTTCAGTCACCTCCTTGTCTGAACGACAAGTGGATAAACAGGTTAATGTCAAGCCCTGCATGTTTTTTTCAAAAGTCTCATGGAATGTAGACCTACACTGAACACCACACATTTGCTGCTACTGACAGAACAGATATGTCCATGTTAAAATATATGGGATGCATTTTTCTTCATTGTTTTTTATGGTAGGCCACTCTTGTAGGCCTACATTATGATCAAATAGCCACAGCAGCCTACTTGACCACTGTTAAAACTGTAACTTAAAGCGGGTACAGCCTCAGTGTTCACAGTAAACACGCGCCGGAAGTTGCACAGAATTTTCACAATGTTCAACTTTGCGCTTAGCAGACCAGAAATTTGCTCAGTGCCAAAAAGAAATTGAGGGAACATTGCCCATAACATGATGCAGACACCACTATGCTTGAAAATATGGAGAGTGGTACTCAGTAATGTGTTGTATTAGATTTGCCCCAAACATAACATTTTGTGTTCAGGACAAAAAGTGAATTGCTTTGCCAATTCTTTTTGCAGTATTACTTTAGTGCCTTGTTGCAAACAGGATGCATGTTTTGGAATATTTTTATTTTGTAAAGGTTTCCTTCTTTTCACTCTGTCCTTTAGGTTAGTATTGTGGAGTAACTACAATGTTGTTGATACATCCTCAGTTTTCTCTTATCACAGCCATTCAACTATGTAACTGTTTTAAAGTGACCATTGGCCTCATGGTGAAATCCTTGAGAGGTTTCCTTCCTCTCCGGCAACTGAATTAGGAAGGACACCTGTATGTTTGTAGTGACTTGGTGTATTTATACACCATCCAAAGTGTAATTAATAACTTCACCATGCTCAAAGGGATATTCAAAGTCTGTTTGTTTTTTTACCCATCTACCAATAGGTACCCTTCTTGGCGAGGCATTGGAAAACCTCCCTGCTATTTGTGGTTGAATCTGTGTTTGAAAATTCACTGCTCGACTGAGGGACCTTACAGATAATTGTATGTGTCGGGTACAGAGATGATGTAGTCATTCAACAACAGTCATTCATATTAAACACTATTATTGCATACAGAGTGAGTCCATGCAACTTATTATATGATCTGAACTTATTTAGGCCCCACTTTGATATTATGTGGTATTGTGTGTAGGCCAGTGACAAAAAAATCTCAATTTTATCAATTTCATATTCAGGCTGTAACACGACAAAATGTGGAAAAAGTCAAGAGTGAATACATTCTGAAAGCACTGTATGTCTTACTATACTTTTTGCGGACCAACAATTGATTCCCATTCAAAAACCTATTTTCCCTAACCCCTAACCCTAACTCCTAACCCTAAACCATAACCTTAACCCCTAACCCTCATTCTAACCCTAACCCCTAAACCTAATTCTAAATCTAAACCTAACCCCTAAGCCTAAAATATACTTTTTACAAATGATGACCGGCCAAATGTCCTCACTTCTCTGAATTTTTGTTGGTTTACTATTCTTGTGAGGACTTCTGGTACTCACAAGTATAGTAAAACATGTACACACACACACGCACCAGTGTGAGGTAATACATTAGTGGGGGGCGAGGAGATTTGTGTATCTCGTCCCCCACAGATCGCTCCTCTCCTCTCTCAGCCAATGAGCAAAGCCGATACCAGGAAGTATCGCTAAAAAGAGCTTATCAGGTGTACACAGTCCACCGTTACACACGTGGTCACACGTACGCACACACACACACACACACACACACTTCAGGCTGCCTTAGAACTCTTGGGACAGTATGTAATGCACTGACGAGCAGTTATGTATCTAGGTTATCTTAGCATTACCATCTTTCACAAAACTTCTCTCTGTACTTTTCAGATGGTCCTCGCCCCCCATAAAGTTATTTTAAACTCAAAATGGCTGTATATTTGCTGAAGAGCATATTCTGGATTGAGCCAAAAGTCTTGGAATCTCAGTGAAGGTTTGGACTTGGTTTACTCCTGAAAGGCCAATTTGTCTAGTATTGTGCACCTGACATGATTAGTTACAGTAAATGCTGATGTGTGCATATCTGTGTCAGCAGGGTTACAATGATGAGAATCAGGGGCGGACTGGGACCAAAAATCGGCCCTGGGATTTCTAACGCATTTTTTCCTTGACTCCCCCTCACCGGCCCATTTTTTCCCTTGAGTCCCCAATTATTAGCCAGATAATTATCATTTTGCGGAAAAAACAACCAAGATAGACAGGCCCACTAGGCTAAAATTGGACCAGCCCATCAGGCATTTTCCCATAATGCCAGATGGCCAGTCTGCCCCTGATGAGAATGGTGAAATGAGGGATATTTCTGTCTATGTCTATTTAAATGACAGAATGTTGAACAGAGTGGAAGTTTCCAGGGGTTATAGATTTTACTCATTAGCCCACATGCTTGAATAGCAGTCCGCATGTTATGCTATGCCGTTGTGCCAAAAGTATTATAGAGATTCTTAGGAATTACAGCTAGTTGCCTTGTGTGACAGAGTAGTTTGTCTTTTTATACAGCTGTTAAATGAAGAAGGTATCTGTTTTCATTCTCCGAGAGTATCTAATATCCTGCTCTAGTGCCAGTACTCCCACCTCCAGATGAGTTGTGTGAGAAAGGAGTGAACACATTCCTCTCTCATTCCCTCATCATGCTTCTTCTGATATCCTCTGACTAAGTAGGCCCTTTGAAAAGGAATTGGAGCCTAACACTCTAGTTACACCATATAGATGGTTAAGATTAAACCACTGCTTGAAGAAATTAAAAACTGTTGATAGTCAATAACTATAATCATAATTTGCATTTGTGTTGCACCCGCCATTGAGTGCAAATATGACTTGACTGTGGTTTCCTGAAACTCTCCATAAGTAAAAGGTAATATAAAATCTTGACTAACATAAAAAGTATGCCAATATATATCTGTCCATGTATTATGAATCAGAACGTTTAGGCAAAGACAGGAGCAGAATGGTTTTATAGATCTTCACATCACAGCAATATATCTGGTAATCTTCCATACAGAAACTCCAAAGTTCGCAAAAATAGATAAGATGTTTGACTGAGACGATTGAACCTCATATGAAATTCCCATGCATTTGAGGGTTGACATGCTGCGAAAAAAAATTGAGGTATTGGATGATGTTACATGTTTATTTTAGCAGACGCTTTTAACCCTAATTGCTCATGTAAGTCGCTCCGGATAAGTGCCTTGCTCAAGGGCACAGACAGATTTTTCACCTAGTCGGCTCGGGGATTAGAACCAGCGACCTTTCGGTTACTGGCACTACGCTCTTAACCACTAAGCTACCTGCCTTCCCATTTTGCAGGTACAGTGAGGGAAAAAAGTATTTGATCCCCTGCTGATTTTGTACTTTTGCCCACTGACAAAGACATGATAAATAATAATATAAATAATTGGTCATTTAGCAGACGCTCTTATCCAGAGCGACTTACAGGAGCAATTAGGGTTAAGTGCCTTGCTCAAGGGCACATCGACAGATTTTTCACCTAGTTGGCTCGGGGATTAGAACTAGCGACCTTTCGGTTACTGGCACAACGCTCTTAACCACTAAGCTACCTAATTTTAATGGTAGGTTTATTTGAACAGTGAGAGACAGAATAACAACAACAAAATGCAGAGAAACGCATGTCAAAAATATTATAAATTGATTTGCATTTTAATGAGGGAAATAAGTATTTGACCCCTCTGCAAAACATCACTTAGTACTTGGTGGCAAAACCCTTGTTGGCAATCACAGAGGTCAGACGTTTCTTGTAGTTGGCCACCAGGTTTGCACACATCTCAGGAGGGATTTTGTCCCACTCTGCTTTGCAGAGTTTCGAGGCTGACGTTTGGCAACTCGAACCTTCAGCTCCCTCCACAGATTTTCTATGGGATTAAGGTCTGGATTCTGGCTAGGCCACTCCAGGACCTTAATGTGCTTCTTCTTGAGCCACTCCTTTGTTGCCTTGGCCGTGTGTTTTGGGTCATTGTCATGCTGGAATACCCACCACCCAACACCCCCAAAGCATAATGTTTCCACTTCCATGTTTGACAGTGGGGATGGTGTTCTTGGGGTCATAGGCAGCATTCCTCCTCCTCCAAACACGGCGAGTTGAGTTGATGCCAAAGAGCTCGATTTTGGTCTCATCTGACTACAACACTTTCACCCAGTTCTCCTCTGAATCATTCAGATGTTCATTGGCAAACTTCAGACAGCCCTGTATATGTGCTTTCTTGAGCAGGGGGACCTTGCGGGCACTGCAGGATTTCGGTCCTTCACGGCGTAGTGTGTTACCAATTGTTTTCTTGGTGACTATGGTCCCAGCTGCCTTGAGATCATTGACAAGATCCTCCCGTGTAGTTCTGGGCTGATTCCGCACCGTTCTCATAATCATTGCAACTCCACGAGGTGAGATCTTGCATGGAGCCCCAGGCCGAGGAAGATTAACAGGTCTTTTGTGTTTCTTCCATTTGCGAATAATCGCACCAACTGTTGTCACCTTCTCACCAAGCTGCTTGGCGATGGTCTTGTAGCCCATTCCAGCCTTGTGTAGGTCTACAATATTGTCCCTGACACCATTGGTCTTGGCCATGGTGGAGAGTTTGGAATCTGATTGATTGATTGCTTCTGTGGACAGGTGTCTTTTATACAGATAACAAACTGAGATTAGGAGCACTCCCTTTAAGAGTGTGCTCCTAATCTCAGCTCATTACCTGTATAAAAGACACCTGGGAGCCAGAAATCTTTCTGATTAAGAGGGGGTCAAATACTTATTTCCCTCATTAAAATGCAAATCAATTTATAAAAATTTTTTACATGCATTTTTCTGGATGTTTTTGTTGTTATTCTGTCTCTCACTGTTCAAATAAACCTACCATTAAAATTATAGACTAATCATTTCTTTGTCAGTGGGCAAATGTACAAAATCAGCAGGGGATCAAATACTTTTTCCCCTCACTGTATGCTGTAAAATGCATGTGACATTTCGACATTGACTTCCTGGTTCACGCTGAAAACACCTGAGGTTAATACAAGATTCCTTACCTGACTCTAGTTTCATTGATCAATTTAAATTAACTTAAATCTGACCTGATTGCAGTCTTGTTACCAACTTAATATTTCTTACCTTCTTGACAAACACAAAAATCTGTATCTTTGAGACCATCTCACACATTGGATTGTTCTAAATTTTACCAGTTTGAATATAAGGAGTTTCATGACCTCTCTCCTTATCAGCTAGGTTTACTGTAAAGGTGGTGTCTCACTATCTTGAGGTAGTAGGCATTGCATTGAAGCCATAAATGTTATTGACAATGATAGTGGCATTCCACAGCAAATCTCACGCCATCCTCTCTTGCACAAGTTTTTATTTCCCCTTTAAAACAGATTCCTGTAAACCATAAAACCCTGAAAAGTGTTATGCAAGTAATTTCATTTTGGTGGCGCAATCCATATTCTGTAGATATCTGGGAAGTGGGAATGACAGCCATTGTCGCTGTATGCAAAGATGTAGCTATTCCAAAAGTGTCTTTAAGATGTCGTTATGTTTAATTGTTAGAACTATCAGGACAGGGGTAGCCTTGTTTAATTGGTTGTGTCACAGGCCGGCTCATAGGGACATGAACAGGTATAGGCCAATCAAAAGGTTCTTTATTGTAAACCAAAAACTAACTTTAAAACAAAGAAAAAGGAATGAGGTGTGGAAATGTCATAATGTAGGGTGTAGGTAAGGTGCATGGATGCATGAATCTGTGTGTGTGTGTGTGTGAACATGACTGAGTGGAAACTAAGTAAACCTACAAAGGAACAAACAAAACAGGATCATACCTGGAGGAGCAGGGAGAGAGAGAGAGTGGTTAGTGAAGCAGTTTTAAATACCCGGAGCCCAGGTGGCTCCAATCACACCAACTCCAATCACTAACGACCCTCCTCTGCCTGCAGGAGGAACCGCCCCTGCACTGCAGAGGAGGGGCCGTGACAGTTGATACTGACAGGATACATTTGCCCGTTGACTATTCATCTGTCTTTATTCTTATGTTGCTTAAGTTTTGATCCATTTCCCTCTTTGTTTCTATCGGTTGTAGAGACTCTCAGTTGCTGCATCTGATGATTACCAGGATGTGTTGACCCAGGAGGAGGGAGACCTGATAGTGTGCCACTCTCACCAGCTTACTGCCTCAGAAATCTCACTGTCTACACAGGAAGACGCCACAACCCAAGGAACCATGGACAGCACACCCAGAAAGTGGCTGCTGCAGCCCATGTCACCCAAACTGGAGCAGGTAACAGATCTTCACACTATGCTCAGCCCCACCACCGACGAGCCCTTGAGCCTGGACCGGAGCTGGACCTACAACAGGAATGGCAACTCTTCTGCTTTCAGTTTCGACAGCATCTCCGTAAACCACACCCGGTCCACGGTTGTCGTATCTTCCCAGCAGGAGGAGGTGTCATCCCGGGACGTGGTGGTGCAGGCCAGGCAGGTGGCGGTGTCGGAGGAAAACGGTGGCATCACTAGCGAAGACTGGCAAGCCAGCAGCCCTAGCAGTCCCAGCAGCACGGGCTCCCATTGCGGCTTCTACTCGTTCGTGGACAATCCTGCAAGCCCCGAGGCGGAGCTGAATGAAGCCTGGATGGTGTCCCCGGAAAGACAAGCCACCCTGAAAGAGGAGAGCAGCTTCAAACTGCAGACGTACACCGGTGGGAAGAAGCCAGGGAGTCTTTTCGAGGAGGACGAGGAATCCCGCTACCAGGTGAACACAGACAATGGTGCCCAATTGAAGGCAGAGGAGGAGGAGAAGCAGCTTAGGCAGGAGATCATCCATGGTCATGCCCCCAACAAGACTGCCACCTACAGGGAGCAGTGGAGTGCGCTGGTAACCCAGGATCTCAGCAAGTCACCCAACAAGCTGCTGGAAGGGTTCAGCTTGAGCTACGGTCCAACCAGTAGAAAATCTGAGCCCACACCAGCAGCCGAGGCTGGCACCATTGACAATGAGCAGATCAACTTCAGCGCAGCACGGGAGCAGTTCCTAAAGATGGAACAGTCAAGGCTCAACCCCTTTCTGCAGAGTCCCAGCTCTCCAAAACCACAAGGACGACCGTGGCAGTCAGAAGACAGCTTGCTATCACCAAGGAGTGTGAAAAAAGAAGACCACTCTACGGTATGGTTGAACCAAAGTCCAACCCCAGTGAAACAGCAGGATGAAGGGGAAGTCATCACTGGCAGAAAGGTGACAGTATACCGCACAGAGGAGAACGTAACCAAGAGGCAGAGTAGCCTGCTTTACGACCTTGACTCTGGACTGGAGGATCTATCAGGGGACCCCAGTGTTGGCTACACAAGTGATGGAAGCACATCCAACGACAACTCTCAACCAGAAAGCAAGGCCACCCAACCGGCAAGTGGTTACAGAGAGACGCCCATTGAGAGGGAGATTCGTATCGCTCAGGAGAGAGAGGAGAGCCTTCGGAAATTGCGGGGCATCAAGCACACCGATGTCCAGGAGATGGTGGAGATCAAGACCAAGTCTCTGCTCTCCCAGCCTGCACCACCACTGACACCTGTCAAGGCCAAAGAGAAAAATCGGGTGAGCTTCTTCATCCAGCGCGAGATCGAGAAGGACAGCCAGAGGGAAGAGGACCTGCTGCACCAGGGGAGGGTCCCAGGTCTGTACGACCGGGGAACTCCCCAGGAACTGGAGGATAGGAAGAAGATCTTTGAGCTGCCGGACCAATCTGGAGCAGAGGAGAAGAGGAAAAGGGCTTGGTCTTCGCCCGGGGTCATTGTGAGGAGTAGCAGCTCAAATATGGAAGGCATCCCTTCCCCATATTTCCCTCACCGGCACTCAGAAGAGACGGAGTTGTACATCAGCTGCATGAACTCCACTCCAAGCGTCAATACCACCAGCAAAGGCTGGGGTTCAGAGTCCCAAGACCTCACCAGAGTACTGCCAAGTAGCCTCCCAGAGGAGAGTGGGACATTTAAAGGCCATGAGACCACAAAGGCGGCAAGCTCTAAAGTCACAGTATTGGTGAAGACGACCAGTACCAGCGAAGTAGTAAATGACCCGTTGTGGTTTGTGGGAAGAAAGGAGCCAGTTCCAACCAAAGGCTCCTCGGCTAAAGAAGCCTCCTTTTTGTCCTCTCCCTCCTCCCCTACACCCACCGCTTCTGCAGTTCAGGGGTCTGAGCCGAGTGATAAGCTTATTCGAACCTGGAAGGCGCACCTGAATTCTGGTGGCCTGCGACCTCGAAGAACAAACGCTCCAGATATTATCCAGAAGGAGATTGAGCAGGATCTAAAACGGGAGCAGGAGCTCCGGGAACTCCGGGAATCCTGTGGCCTGTCTGCCTCTATGGAAGGAAACCTGGACTGTGTAGGACGAGACGCTAAAGACACATATCAATCGCAAAGCCCGCAAAGGGTCATCGTGGAACAGGAACAGGAAGACTCTGTCTTCTATGAGAGCCCTTCACGTCTTGTAGAGCAGACAAGCTTGGCCAGACGGCCCTACTCCTTTATCACTCCAGTATCAATGATAGGTAGGATGGTACATTAATCCATACACAAATCTATACAGTTACATAACGTTACAAAACAATGTAACACAGGAATAATTAATGATGGCAATATCTTATACATGTTTTTGGCTTGATTTAAGTAAATCTCTACATGCATCAACTGTCAAATGTCCTCACATTTCTAGCTTTAAGTGGATGTAGCATTACAGTCTTGTTTACTGATGGCTTTCTTAGACTGGTGGAAATTACAAGCTTAATTAGAACTTGAACTTTGGTCATATATGGGCAGAGGAACCAAAGCTGTGTTACCAGCCATGATTAATCATTAACACGGAGCAAAACAGATCGCTGTGAGGTTGTTGTATAATTACTCCAGTTAGGTTTTTTGCTGCTTTTCCTTAGAGTTGATGCACTGACATTTAGTGATTAAGATCACATTATGGCAAGATAATCTAAAATGTCTAGCCTACCAGTGTCCATTTTCATAGGGAGTCAGAAGTGTGTACAATGCTAAGAATACAATTATCATTATGTAGTTTCATGTTGCATTCAATTTACACTTCAAATGTACTCTATCATTAATAACACAATTACAAGCATGTATGTGTTAACTCATTATCCCCTCCCCCCTCCAGATAAAACAGACAGCGCAGATCCCTTTTCCCCTTCCATTCGTCCCACTGCCCGACTTCCCTCCTTTTCCATAGTGACCGCCCAGCCATGGGGCTCTCCACGGCCCACCTCCCCCGTGGTTAGCAGGGCTACCCCTATGTTGCCTGCCAGCCCATGGGCAGAGATAGGTGGCTCCCCTGGGACACCCACGCAAAAGGGCCTGACCGAGACACTGCTAGAGGATTTTGAGGAGAGGAGAGTCAAACTGAAGCTGGAAGAGAACGCTGTAAGTGAGAAAAGACTGTAGTTGGACACAGATGGTGTTGTTGATGTCTACAGACACATTGAAAATTCATTATAGACACACATAAGACAAAAACATTTAGGCACACAGTTTGGAAAGAAATACAGCAATGCAATACGCCTACAAAAAAAAAGAGTACCGATGGTGATGGAGAAACCAAGTACATCTTGTGAGATTTCTCAACTCATAGGTTTTGTATACTACAATAATTGCTAGTTGCTCATTTGGAAAATGTATTTTGTGTTTCCTGCAGTATGCAGGAATTCAGCGCATTGATGATGTGAACAGTGAGGTAAGTGGTTGCTCCTCTCTCTGTTGATGTGCGTTGAATCATTGGTCATTTGTCTCAGAGAAGGACCTTGAGCACACGTCCAATATAACATTGCTGCTATTTCTTCCATTGTAGGTCTTGGAGGCCACCCGCATCACCAGGCACAAAAACAAGCGGGCACTGCGGTGGGAGGCTGGCGACTACACCAAGGAGGACGGCCAATGAGTCCACCAGCCCTCTCCCCTGGAGGGCATGGTGAGAGAGGGTAGAAAGGAAGCGAGATTAACAACACACAGGCATCTTAGGGAAGTTGTTGTCCCATCTCAGCACATATGAATATACTCTCTGACTACACACTACCAAACTGGCTGGACATATTGATTGGTCCACTTTGTGATAAACTCCCCGTTCATCCACATCAGCCACCTGAACATCGCCCCCGACTAGAGTAAGTGACCTTCCACGATTTATAAAAGAAAAAAGACAAGTGAACTGAAAAAAATATTTAATAAAGACAGGACAGGTTTTAGCTGCGGCATAGTTTTTTTGTCCAAATGCCATCGGAGATGGATTGTAAACGGAAGGTAATTTAAAAGGAGTTCTGTGCCTGCTTAGAATGCATTGCCTTGTTTTGGGATGAAACGGCTATGGTCAGGTTGCAGGTCCGAATCATTAGCGTATGAGTTATTTTTAAGTCTGGCAGTCACTGGCTGCTAGGTAACTTTGATTAGGCCTATCTGCCTTCAAATGACTGCATAGAAAATAAAGGAGGGAGCTTTTTTTGTCATGTCAGTTGTGCTTTGCAAAGCAAAAACAAGCAAGAAACCATCATCAGATATCCATGATGTATTTAGTACGGAGCACTTGCAGTACTGTCTTCAAGAAATGTTGACTTTAGCCTGATAATTAATATAATAATATAATAAATAAAGAGCTACAGCAGATAGCAGTATGTTTGTGTTCTTAATTTGACTTGAATGTGCTTTGACAGCAGAAATGAGTGTAAGACTTCTTACCTAAACCGGTCAGGTCCTTATTGCCTTTCTTAAAGCTCGACTCAATCCGTATCGCGAAAGATCTGCAGTATAGCGCGATTGAAATTTGAAAGGCAATGTTAACGCAGTTGACTGCATTCACAGAAAATGCTGCATATGTCGGCTCAATCGGAAATGACTGTACCTTTAAATTTTCATCGAGCCATCTTCCGTGATACGGATTGAATCGAGCCCTTATTAATGTGCTATTATGAATGAACAGTTAGAAAGATTCCTTGCTTGCCAGTCGGCTACTGTAAGTTCAGTGACAAACAAGTTCGATCACACTCTAAACCTGACCGTTTGTAACATGACAAGATATGCTTTTTATAGAGACTATGGTAAGAGATACTGCTGAAAATAGCCCAGATAATGTAGATCTCATAAGAGATTCAACTCTGCTACATTTGGTGGCAGTGGTGGCCTCCACTACTTATACAAGCGTTGATGTCAAATCGCATTGTAGATGAAGTTGATCAAATTATAGGGAATCTCAAACTATCAAATGGAGTAAAACGTCGGCATCTGCTGGGCAGACAATTGAACTGCTTGTACGGGATTTGAGAGTGCAGCTGTAATGTTGAAACCCCATTTACACCACCCTGCATTAACATGATCGTCCAATTGTAAGTATACAACTCGTCTGAAAAAAAGTAGAGATGTTGAGTTGTACTTCATGGGTTTGAAGGACAATGATGTATCCCGATTTCACCCGCAATCATGCATCAGTGTGTCTCTATCTTAAAACTGTTGTAGTATAGGGAACTGCTAGGCCCCACACAAACCACAATGGATGAAAAGATCCAAACCCTCTCCCCTTGAGACCTTCCCCTCCAATTTGTTTTGAGAAAGAGGACAGAGGACACAAGGAATTGAGGAACGAATGGGCGCGTTCAACATTGCAGCCGACTTTTTAAGCGAGTCGAGACTGATGGTTCTACAAATCACCTTGCATCATAAATAACTACTCAACATATTTATTTTTGACCCATCAGTCATAATTTACCCATGATACATCACGGTTTTGATGCTCTCGAACACGGCCAATAATTGACTTTTCCTCATTCCCGGCTGGGATTCAATCCGACCGTGTATGGTCGATCGACAATGCAGCTTTTAAATAATAATAATAATATGCCATTTAGCAGACGCTTTTATTCAAAGTGACTTACAGTCATGCGTGCATAATTTATTATATATTTCTTTTTTGTGTATGGGGTCCCGGGGTTCGAACCCACTACCTTGGCATTACAAGCGCCGTGCTCTACCAGCTGAGCTACAGAGGACCACAAAGGTAAATGCCGACATATGCAGCTTTGACCGTGAATATTATCTCCATGAACGCAGGAACATTGCCTTTAAAAAGCTGCAATGCCTATAACCCACGATCGGATAGAGTCCCGACCTCAAACTTTTTCTGAGGGCAACCCCGCCTCCAGGGCACTTGCAGAACGAATGTTATTGGTTGGATGAAAGCTCATTGTGCAGAGCTAAGAGTGACAGGTCAGTATGTGGAGTTTACAGGTGAGAGTCAAATATAGAAAAGGCTCTCAGGGAGGGAGGTTGGAGGGCACAAGGTCGCCAGTTTGAATACCAGTGCGGCTTTTTTCCCCCAACCTTATCCAACATGCTTAACTAATCACATTTCTAATCTACTGACATTCTGAATGACTGAACAGCTTTATATATGTGAAAAGAAAGAGTGGCGCCCATCCCCATACTGGCGCAGTGGACTAGGCACTGGGAAAGGGACCAGAAGGTCACAGGTCCTAATCTTGCCTCGCTTTCATAGTTGAAATAAAATTAAAGTGTTCTTTACTCAGTTGAAAGCAGTGGCGGGTCAGTGACGTTTAAGATGATGATTTATATTTTTTTATGAGCATGGTCTTATTTCTATGACAGCATTTTGGATGACTGTCATTCATATTCCATTCACCCAGTACAATGTAACAGCGATAGCTTTAGGCTACTGCATGATACTCTGATTGTCCCTGTACCAATCATGAGGTTGCTACAACCTAGCCTATGAATGAAAGTTTACAACGTAGGTGCACACAGGTCGAGAGAAAAATTTGAGGTGACAGATTGACACATGGACAGACAGTGACACATTCAATACCACCTTGCACACTATTGCCTGCTTCTAGCTGATATAGGGTGTAATCATTAGTCCAACAGCTGCAAAGTAGAGTTTCTATTGGAGAAATTCAGGTATGTTTATTCCAATTTTGTTCTGTTTAAGACAATGTTTTTCAACAGAATCAGCGGAATGAATACACCCCTGATCACGCATAAACACAGTTAACTTTCATAGCAGCCACGTTGTATTGCTTCTCGCATCTATGTGCTCTCCTCCTCTCACCTTGCCCCTTCGCTTGTGGACTTCAATGCACAACACATCAGCTGTTTGTGACCAGGCAAAAAAACTTTTCCAAGCCAAACCATATCATAACCGCTACACAGAGCCTACATCGTTGTCACCATATTAGCTAAAGTAACATCATAGTCAACATAGCTAATATAACTAACGCGTTAGTAAACCCGCTACAATCATGCAGTAACGTTAGCGTACAGCAGTTTAGCACTTACACTGGCAGGCCCTGGTGGCAATAACTTAGTAAATCCAAAAGCTTACATTGACTTGGAAGAGTTCCAGTGTTGTGTTAGATAGTCATAGCCAGCTAGCCAACATAGCATCCCTCTGTTTGAGCAGGGTGTTTGAGTAGCATTTGTTGGCTAAGTAAGTTAAACTGAAAGTGAAATCTCTCTCTCTCTCTTGCTCCCCCTTCATTTTGGAAGAAATTAATTTGTTCAAAACCGTTCCAACTATTGTTTTCCTCTCTCTTTGAATTAACTACTCGCCACATTGTATCAACTGCAGCGCTAGCTAGCTGTAGCTTATGCTTTCAGTACTAGATTCATTCTCGGATACTTGGTGGACAACATTTCATTTCATGCTGTAAGAGCTCTGATATGTTGGAAGACGTGCTCTGGAAGTTGTCATAATTACTGTGTAAGTCTATGGAAGGGGGTTAGAACCATGAGCCTCCTAGCTTTTGTATTGAAGTCAATGTACCCAGAGGAAGACAGAAGCTAGCTGTCCTCCGGCTACACCCTACAGAGTGCTGTTGAGGCTACTGTAGACCTTCATTGCAAAATAGTGTCTTAATTATTTGGTGACGTGATTATATTTAGTATAGTTTTCTCTAAAAAATGTTAACTTTTTTAATGTTTTACAATTTTTATGAAATTCACTGAGGATGGTCCTCCCCTTCCTCCTCTGAGGAGCATCCACTGGTTGAAAGTCAGGGAAATAACACCAATTACAAAGCACACCTATTTATAAAAGGGGTATATTTATTGAAAAAGAGAAAAACGAAAATTAGTGTTTCAATACTGAATTATCTATCCACTGTCATTATCCAACTAACCACCCCACTCACATGACACTGCGGAAACCAGCAGAGGCAGTCTATGGACATCTATAGCATTTACTGGGTGAAGTCCAGAAACTTGCAAGTGATATGTGAACCACCAACAGGGTATGGACATAGACAAACATACATTTTTAAGTGCATGGGAAAAGAGGTGTCTATAACGACGAAAAATATAGCACAATAAAACTGAAATATAATGGCTTTAAAGAAATTATGTACCATCTCCCAAAATGTCCTGTTCGATTTGGCTGCCAAAGAGCAATAGAGCATATTAACCTCAAATGGGTTTATTTATTTGGGGGCGTGATTTACAGATAGGTACACTCGTTATGTCCTGCACAGTGCTACGGTCACTTGTATTATGACTGAAGTGTTATTGTGACTGAAGGAGTTCTTCAGATGTACACAAGAGGTATCTTCATTTGAATACTTTTATTATAATGGGGCAGAGATGGAAACACAGTGGCACAGAAATACGGGGCCAATCTTTAGAACTATTCCAATGAGCCAAATATACCACTGAACACGGCTTTCAAAATACACACAGACATAGAGATAGATAGAGGACTCATTTTTGTATCTGTGCCACTATAGTCTTTGACAGCATGGGCAGCGCCATTGAGGCCATCTCCATTTTGAAGTAGGCAATTTTCTTCTTCACAATTGTCTGATCCATCCTGGTGAACCTGGTGGACATGACTCCAACGGGGTCACCAGGAGGGATCAGCCAAAAACGTTGGAAATCCCATCCAGTTGATTACAATGGTGGAAGCCCTCAATAGCCTTTGCCCATGCGATCCTTTTGGCCACAAGATCTATAATTCTCTATGGATACAGCTTTAAGAACAGCTAGCCAAGACATGTTATGGACAGCAGAGGGCGTAAGAGCCGCAACAATATCCAAACCAATGCATTCGGAGTCCAAAATACGGCGACAAATGGCACACACGTTAAATGGACATATCTTTACATGGACATGATGGATTGATTTTACTTTAGTCAAAGTTGAGGTAACTATGAGCTATAATTCATAACTCCACTAGTGTGAAATATCTATCCAAATAAGTGACCAATGAAATGCAAACCATTATCAATAATTTTGGCTCAGTCTTATTATGGCTAGTACCAAAACACATGCTGTTCTTTCAGAAGGACAATGTGAGCTCGGTTCTGCTTGCTCTGTCCTGCCATTGGCTTATGATATCATGTGAGCAGCCGGATGCTAACCAAATGATTGTAAGTGATAAAGTAGCCACACCACATTACTGATTATATATATATATATATATTTTTTTAATACAGATAACTCAATAATTTAGGAAAAACTAATAAATAGAATTCTTAATGAATAGATAAGGAAGAAAATACAAAATGATATTACATTTTTCCATATGAAATAATTGGAATTCTATGATCTGGCTAAATGTGGCTGGCTGCACACACCCTTTTCAGATTATGATGTCTTCAAATGTACAGTGTGCTCTGGATGAGCCATGGCATTTGTTTGCTTTAATACCAGACGTGATTTACATTAAATTGAAATTTGATTTTAACTTACAAACTAACAAAAGACGATGTGAGATCTGCATGCTTGTATAACTCTGCATGCCAAAAAAAACTATCACTTCAACTGTAGTAAAAAAAAAAAAAAAAGTTAATTTCTCTAAGAATAAGAGTTATTTAACTCAAGTAAAAATAAAGGTTAAAATACTTTCATAGTCCTTCTCCTTGAATAAAATGAAAATATCCTTTGCAATAAAGAGCATTATAACACAGTGAGTGCTTAGACAACAAGCTGCATGTTGTGGGCATGGTAGCAGAAGCAGTGCTGGCATGCATTTGGACCCAATCTGTTTTGATATAGGCTAAAAGCGTCCACATTCACAGATAAAGCTATCTAATGTACATTCTACTGCTATTAACCGGATACACAAACGATTGCTGATATAACTGATTTTCCTTTCCTGTTAAACATCTTTTGTTTTAGCATTTACTTAAGTTCACTTCGGCACGATAATAACCACTCGGAGATAAATGTAATGTATTGCAAAGTATTTCTCATGACTTCCCTATTTGCATATCTAAGTATCCCTCTTCAGTGAAGCTCACCCTCTATGGCACATGTGACATACAGTGGTCCCATTGATATGGTATATTTACAATTAGAAGAAAATCTGGTCTTGGAGAGGGACTCACATAGGGGTTTGGATACAGTTGATATCCTGGGCACTAATGCAAAATATTATTGAATACAAACAAGATCGAGAGTTAGGGTCTTCTTGACCTGACTTGACTTTTGTCATAATCAGAAATGCTAGACCTGCCGGCGGTAGACATAGTGCTTCACTATTTTTTTTTCTATTACTGTAGGGTTAACACTTAATTCAGTGTCCTCTTTAATGAAATAACTATTAAGTAGTAAAACTGTAATTCAATCATGTGAGTTGGTACATAAAACACTACATATTTTATTGCCTTCCATCTCCCAATATTTATTAGTATTTCATTTTAGTACAAATCATTACCTAGTATTTACGTACTTATTTCATTTAAAAAGACAATGTCAAAAGTGTATCCCCATACAGTATGTGCTCTACATGAAGGGTTAAAGTGACTGATATAAATGTTACACAAAAAACGCTGCACATTACATGATTTCTTGAAACTTGGACATTCTTTTGTCAATGTTGGGGTAATTCTTCTGTTCACATGCATATCATTACCTTCAAAGACATTGGCCATCTCCTTAATGTTCATAGACCGTCTATGGAACTAACATGGGATGCAGAAACATGTCGTCGTCCTTCAGTAAGTGCTGAGGTCTCTGCATGTCCTACCTGTGCACCAGGAGACAACTGTCCCACATTCACCAACTCTGCCTTTTATCAGCCTTGGACAGACATCATATTCTATTGTAACACTCCTTCACTCACTGCGGTTCCCTCGTCTGTGGAAATTGATAACTGTGCAAATGGGTGTAGGGCTAAATATACCTATGAAATGATTAATCGTTGAAGGAAGAACTCAGGAGTTCAGTCCCATTGAGGCAGAGGGTTTCCTACAGCTGTTGACTAGTCTCCTTTGAGCTGTCGTGGATTTGGATCACAACTACCTGGCTAATGGTAAGAAATGTGAGGACCTTCGATTACTATAGACAGTCTTCAAGGTCCACCTCATTCATAATGAACAACCTTTCTTCATGTTGGTAGACCAAAGACTCTTGGACATATTCATGTTCTGCCTTCATTTCCATGGCAGGCTTCATTTCCATGGCATAGACGTACCCAAGACAAAGATGGGTCAGAGTGTTTGCTGGGGTCTTTTTTATATTGATAAGATTGAAAGGATGAGCAAGGCCTGCTAATCCACCAGGCTATACTTGAAGCATGCTGGGGTGGGAAATTGTCAGTTATAGATGGGGGAAATTAATCCATCACAATTTAAGAGAAGGTGAAGGGGGTGAGATACTTTGGTCGGTGAGAGGGCAGGGATTTGTAGCTTCATCTTGTTTCACCCCCCCTCCCCCTCTCTCTCACTCTCCCTCTCGCTCTCTCTCTCTCAGAACTCCACTTTGCAGGCAGGGAAGGTCTCCTCCTGCATGGCCACAGTGCTGTTGCTGCCCAGCACGGTGATACCCAGCTCCCTCTGCCTCTCATGGGTTTCCTGGTACCACTCGTGCATCGTCAGCGAGTCAAAGGTGGGGATCAGGGTCACCTGAGAGTGGAAAGGTAGAAGGGCAAATTCAAATGAGAACATGAGTACATAGAAGTAGACAGACTTAAAAAGGTAGACTCAGCGATATGACGTAGATGCAGAAAGTAAACAGCATAGTAGGTCAATTTCCGCAACAACTAAGAGCGTTGAAATGCGAAGCTCAACTTCTCCGCTGTTTTGGTGCCCTGGCTAACACACTGTAAACAGCGTGAAGCGAACCGATGCACATGCGCAAATACAGTGCATAACTGTGAGAGCGAAATGTTACATTTCACTCATCTCAATATCTCTGGTGCTGCTCGTGGCAATGTCATTTAGCTCAGTCTACGTTTGTTGACGTTCTACAAATGTACATAGAAAAAGATAAATGAGACGAGGGAGGGGGAGAGAGAGAGAGCTGACCTGCACATCGGGCCAGGCCGTCTTTCCCTCCAGTAGGGCGTCGAGAATGGGTCTCATGACTGACTCCTTCAGGGGCTCGTCGCCACTGATGATGTAGCAGGAGGAGCGCAGGCGTTGGAAGAACTCCACGTCAATGGTGGCAGAGGCACAACCAGAGGGGAGATAAGCCATGTCCAAATACACTGGTGCAATTCCAGCTGCACTGACCTTACTGCCCAGAGAACCTGCATGACACAAAGCAGAGTTAGGCATAAGAAGACTCAATGTATTGCAATAACTTGCAAGTACAAAAACATTATTTTAGAAAGCAAGTAATGAAAGAGCTAAATATGCCATCATTTAAAGTGTAAAACCCTGTCTGTTCCTACCTGAAGAAGCTGACTTTGCAGTTCCAGGTCTGGAGCCACTAGTGGTATTGCGGGATGAAGGCCTTGTGTCAAGGCTTGAGGTGGTCTTCAATGTAGCAGTTGTGCTGCCAGCCTTGGTCTTACTGTTCAGAGTTGTACTGGTGGCTGACGTTAACCTCTGTATGAACCCGGCTGGTTTCTTGGTTTTTGTGGCAGCACTCTTTGAGGTCTTGCTTGGATCATCAGCCTCAGGGTCAGCCATGCAGGTACCGGGCTGGGGCGGCAAAGGGGGTAGATCCTTCATTGGGGCTGGGGGAGGGTCCTGAGAGGAATGTTGCGCTCCCCTGTTGGAGGAGTGAGTGCTGGGATGGTCATGTGGATGGTGGGGCGGGAAATTCCCAGAGTCCTCGTCAGAGTCCATGTCTGCAGTGATGGAGGGGCAGTCTTCAGTCCCAGGGGGTATGTCTGAATCTGTGGCTGTGTTGAGGGATTCACTAACAGACGTGGGAGGGGTCTCCTGGCCTTGAGGTGAATGTCGATCACTATTAATTCTGCTTTGTGGCTTAGCTAGCTCCTGGGAGTGGTTGCTGTCTTCTGAGAGTTCTCGCGGGCTACCGGTGGCTAGCCCTAGAGACAGATGCTGCTGTTGGTTCTCTGGGGACTTTGGGTGCTTGAATTCACAGGGTGAGACCAGGCAGAGGTCAACATCATGGGGAACGTCAGGGAGAAGACCCTGTAGTCCAGGAAGGCGTTCCTCTGAGCCGTCCCCTGGTGGACGCATGTTATGAGATGTACTCAAGGGTAAGGACATCCCCATTTTGGGGTCAGAATCTGCAAAATGCCCATTTGAGTAGGACTTGTCCACATGGTCTCCCTTGGGTGACTCATCAATAGATGGGAGCACCTGTTCAAAAGACACGGAAAGAGACTCATCAACTTCTGTCGAGTGTGGGGAACCGATTTCAGCAGGCATGGAGGTAATATTGGGCGAGACAGAGTCAGGCAGCATGAAGGGACTCAGTGTCAAAAGGCTTGATTGTTTGTCCTGGGACGATGTGGAGTTTTCAAGGTTCCCCCTCAAGGAGCCTACCTCTGAGTTCCTGCAAGAACCAATGACGTGGCAGTCTTCAAACCCAAGGCTAGGCACCCTTCCCCTGAGACTACTGTCCTCACCAGAGCCCTGAGCATCCTCTTCAGGTGATTTGTGGAAAGGTGTATGCCCAGCGCTATTAGGGGCTGAGTTGGCAGGGGAGACCAACTCTAAAGTCTTCTCATCTGAGCTGGCGCATGCATCTTCTTGCCCATTTCTCAAGGCCCCATCAAGAAGCCTGTATTCAGTTGGTGTGAGAATAAAGTTCACGCTGCTGTCAATTTTAGGAGTTTTGGCGAGAGGCGAAGTGGTTCCCAGGGCTTTCTCTGGATTTGACAGCGTCTCCATGCAGCTGAACTTTTGTGGACTTTCCAAGATGTCCCCCCTTTCTGCATTACCGCTTGATCCATTCTCTGTCGCAGGTTGCTCTATTCCTTCACTGTCAGCTATAGTGTTCACTACAACAGCAGTCTTTTTCTCTGACTTTCCATTTTCTGCTCTGAGCTTCTCGAATTCCGCTGTCATGTCTTCAGGTGTTGACATCTTGGAACGATCAGCATCCCCCTCAGAGGCAGAAGATTTTTGATTCTCCGGCTCCTTTTTACCAGTCTTTGGCTTTGCCGCCTTGTTCAATGCGTCTCTCTTGGGGATTGCATCCTTCTTCAATGTTCCATTCTTACCTAAGAGCTTTGCCTCTGTGTTTCCAAATGAAGGTCCAGTTGTTGCTTTTTTGACATCCTTGTTGAGAGGTTTTGTTGGTTTCTTCTCCTCTGGCTTTACCTCCTTCTTGATCGCTTTCTTTTGATCATGTTTGATGTCTTTCTTTGGTCTTGGACCAAGAGGTTCTTTCTTAACTGCTTCTTTCTTTTTCTCCAAATTCTCTTCCTTTTTGGCAACACCTGCGGAGGCTTTCTCATTTTTCTTTTTTACTTCTTTTTTCTCATCCTTTAAAGGTTCTTTCTTTGTCATAAGCTTTTCAGCCTTTGGAGGTCTTTGTTTAGCATCCCCATCCTTCAATTTGGACTTCTCTTCCCCTTCTTTCCCTTCTTTATTAGCAATGTCATTTTGGGCCTTGGGTTTGGTCTTCATGTCTTGCTTTTTAACGTCCCCACGTCCAACTTTGTCCTTCAGCAAGGCACTGCTAGGTCTTGAATCCTTGGGCAGGGACTTAAGGCTCTCCCGACTCTCTGCACGTTTTGGTTGTATATCTGATTTGGATGCTTCAAGGTCCCTGAGGCTCACGGCTGGATGTTTCAGGAATTCTAGATGCTTTACTTTCTCAAATCCTTCAAGAATCTTGGCCTGCGGAGTACACCCAGGGAAGAGAACTCGAATGATCTTCTCTTGAGGACTGGCAGGATGCCACACCAGTAGAGCGGAGATGGAGACAAGGCAAGACAGGGGTATCTCTGAGCCTTTTGTGTTAGATCCATTGCCGGGCCAGGTCTTCATGAAAGCATCAAGATCTTTACTGCCTTTGACTGGGTTAAGAATGTACAGCTCTAGTCTACCAACTCCCATCTTCTGGAAAAGAATAAGAGGCTCAATGCTGGGTCCATTTGAGCGACTAAGAGGTTCTGGATTGATTGTTAGCCTTTCAAGGTGTTGCAAAGTGAGTGCCACTTGATCGCAGCTCCTCAGTTCTTTGGGATCACCCCGGAATGACTTCAATCTCTCTGGAGCATTAAGGAAAACGACACCAATCTCAGGGGAAATTAGATTTTTCATCCAGTTCTCATTGATCTGAGAGTCAGTAGACGGTTCCTCCTCCAGTTCTACTGCTTTCCTTTGGAGAAGACTGTTCACCCCTGGCAGATTGTCGGCACCAATGTGGGTGAGGAGCAGGGAGTCAACTCTGTCTAAATGTCTAACCAGTTTCCAGAAACAGGAGCGAGAATCTGACCCACCATTGACCAGGATGTTGAAACCGTTAACAGCAAAGAAAGCGGAGTCTCCTCTCCCACCTGGAAATACGTAGCAGCAGGGGCGGGAGAGTTTGAGGAAGCCCACAGTACTGGGGGGCTCCAGCAGCTCAAACGGAGACTGTGGCTCCAGGGACTCTGAGAGGTATTCTGTGAACTCTTGCAGACCTTCCATTTCAGGTAGCACTGATGGTGGGTTTGTTTTGATGTCGATGAAGTCTTGTAGGTTGTGCTTCTCCAACACAGAGTTCTTCCACACCCCAGAGTTGGGACAACTCAGCGTGAGGCTAGCTTTTTGTGTGGGGTCTGCAGAGCTCAACAACTCTCCAATCTGTTCAAAGAGATAGAATGATTTGATGTAAATCACTTCACCAGCTTATGCTTTTGAATTCAGATTGATCTGTAACGCTGAATAAGTATTACAGTAACATATTAATTCACCTCCTCATCAGCAAATATCTGAATGAAGTCACTGAGAGAGAAACATCCTGTTTGTAAGACCAGGTCTCCTGCCTCTTCAACACATTGTCCAGCAAGGACCAACAACTTGTGGCGAGACACATCAGATATAAGCCGGCGCACCTAGTGAAATGGAAGGAAAGGGAGTCATGAAAATTAAGCTCCATTTAGTAGCCTTTACAATTCCAAATAGGGCAATAGTATAGACTGTGTTTGTGTAACAGAAAACACAGAGAAACAAGGCCCCTCATTCAAGGTTTTTTATGTCAACATCCAGCCTATGTTTACAGTCTATAATATGATAAAAAGGCAAAATGGCATTATGTTATGGCCAGATAAACCCTTCTTCATTTTGATCCAAATTACATGCATACCAGCCAAATCGGATATAAAAAGGATCCACACAACTTTTGCCAAAGGCCACAATCAACACTGCATGACCAAAAGTATGTGAACACCTGTTCGTCGAACATCTCGTTCCAAAATCATGGGCATTAATATGGAGTTGGTCCCCCCTTTGCTGCTATAACAGCCTCCACACTTCTGGGAAGGCTTTCTACTAGATGTTGGAACATCGCTGCGGGGACTTGCTTCCATTCAGCCACAAGAGCATTAGTGAGGTCGGGCACTGATGTTGGGGGATTAGGCATGGCTCGCAGCCGGCGTTCCAATTCATCCCAAAGGTGTTTGATGGGGTTGAGGTCAGGGCTCTGTGCAGGCCAGTCAAGTTCTTCCACACCGATCTCGACAAACCATTTCTGTATGGACCTCACTTTGTGCACGGGGGCATTGTCATACTGAAACAGGGAAGGGCCTTCCTCAAACCGTTGCCACAAAGTTGGAAGCGCAGAATCGTCTAGAATGTAATTGTATGCTGTAGCGTTAAGATTCCCCTTCACTGGAACTAAGGGGCCTAGTCCGAACCATGAAAAACAGCCCCAGACCATTATTCCTCATCCACCAAACTTTACAGTTGGCACTATGCATTGGGGCAGGTAGCGTTCTCCTGGCATCCGCCAAACCCAGATTCGTCCATCGGACTGCCAGATGGTGAAGCATGATTCATCACTCCAGAGAACGTGTTTCCACTGCTCCAGAGTCCAATGGCGGCGAGCTTTACACCACTCCAGCTGATGCTTGGCATTGCGCATGGTGGTCTTAGGCTTGTACGGCTGCTCGACCATGGAAACCAATTTCATGAAGCTCCTGACGAACAGTTATTGTGCTGACGTTGCTTCCAGAGGCAGTTTGGAACTCAGTAGTGAGTGTTGCAATCGAGGAGTGCTCGGCGGTCCCGTTCTGTGAGTTTGTGTGGCCTACCACGTCGCGGCTGAGCCGTTGTTGCTCCTAGGCATTTCCACTTCACAATAACAGCACTTACAGTTGACCAGGGCAGCTCTAGCAGGGCAGAAATTTCACGAACTGACTTGTTGGAAAGGTGGCATCCTATGACGGTGCCACGTTGAAAGTCACTGAGCTCTTCAGTAAGGCCATTCTACTGCCAATATTTGTCTATGGAGATTGCATGGCTGTGTGCTCGATTTTATACACCTGTCAGCAACAGGTGAGGCTGATTAAGCTGAATCCACTAATTTGAAGGGATGTCCACATACTTTTGTATATATAGTTTATATGTTAACATTTTCATAAAAAGGCAATCCATCAATAAATTCCCCATGGCAATTTCTACTGTTACTGGTGTAAAAATGATCTCAAACGCACACTGATGAAAACTGAAGAAAAAGCAGCACTTCAATGTAGAAAAATCCCTCACCCCCCCACATCCTTTCCCCGAGAAAATATTTCAGGAATTACTGTGTACATATCCAGTACTAAGCCTACTGCAAACTTTGTTCAGGCATGACATTGAAAAAATACCTGAATTTACCAGCAGATACGCTTGCATAGAACACAGATAACAAAGCAAGAGATAGACTTTATATTTCGCCATTTAATGTGAATACACAAGTGTATTAAGCATCACAGGCATTAGCTGACAAGCACAGGCTAAAGTAGATTATGTTGGTTCAAATAAGGAGGGTTTTGTGAATCATTACAGCAGCAACAGGATTTGATTTCCAGTATGAAATGAGAGCCAGATGGCAGGGGAAAGAAGTGTGTTATGTGATGGCAGTGTGTAGTGCAGATGTCATATGAGAAATTGGATCCTTTCCATCTCAGGACAAAGCAATAGCTACGCAAAGTCGAACAAACCTTAGTAAAATTGCTATTGAATGATAATCAAACATTACTTAAAGGGGATGTTCACCAATTTTGATATTTTGTAGACACATTTTGCTGAGTCATCACTTACCATTGACTACAATGAAAATGTCACAAACAATTTTCTCTCTAACGAAACAAAATATTTATAAAATAACGGTTTGGGGGATCAACTACACACACAGAAGGAGTGAAAATAAGGACATGCGTAAAAATGGGTGAACTTCCCCTTTAATACTATGTAATACTGACTTTCATAAAGATGTGATTTTATCATTCTGAACATAGTTTATTTCCCTGTATTTTAAAATGAATTTAGACTACCCACAACATACCTTGAAACTGAATAAAGACTTCAACACCAAGGTCTGATGTTAACAGTGAGAGATGTAGCCTAATTAGGTCTCACCTCTGAGCAGACCAACTCATGGGATGGGTTCACCATCACCTGGGTGTCCAGAACATCTCCACTGTGCTGCAGTGTCCTCTGACCTAGAAGGAAGGAGGGAGATGGTGGTCAGAAACCTGAGAGTAAGGAGAAGCGAAAAGGCCACCTCCAGGGGAGTAAGGGTTAAAAAAAAGGAACCTAGCCTGTTCCTTTAGACCGGCAAACAACAATGGGTACTGGGCAATTAGTCTGTTTTGTTTACAGACTACACTAAAGAGACAGATGGTCGGAATAAAACTGCCCATGTAGGCTAATGGCAGTAGGCTATATGTGGAGAGTTTGGGAATAACAAACCATGCATCCACTAAAACGGTTCAACAGGTTGTGCAAATCAGAAGTCAAAATCCAATCTGAAACATTTTACAGTAAACCTTTTAGCAGATGTAGAGGCCTTTGGCTTACAGTTAAGTCTTGAGCATAGCCAGAGAAAGAGCTCTGCCAGCATCAGAAACAACCAGTCTGTGGACACTAACCTGGGTGGAATGCCTCTAAAGAGAAGGCAACAACACTGATTACATTTAGGCACAGAGCTTTGCATACCTAAAGATAAACCCTGGGCCAGCAGTGTGACTGTAGCTTTTAGTGCAGATCTGAAGCGAGAATAGGTCAAACACCAAGCGAGGTACTGAAACCAGACGAGGCTGAGGAAAAAACAAACACAAAATGCCCCAAATAACTGTCTCAACAAAACATGACTTACCAGTAGTTAGAATGGTATTGATTCAATGGTCTTGAATAACACAAAACGAATCATTTGGTTACCAAAAAAAGCATACATCTATACAATAACGCTATACAACTCAAAATAAATTAAGGCAAAGCTTTTGCAATATTATGTTTTTGTTTAGGCTATATTTGTTAATAATTCTAGTTATTCCCATGCTCCAAAAGCTGCAATAACATACTGAGGCTATTCAGGCTGAATAAATGACCTGTGTGCCACACTCCTACTGCATCACATGCCAGAATACAGGGGCATTCACTCATGTGCTGCACCCAACATCCCCATTTAGCCTACAATTTTCCACAACGAATCACAAGATGAAATGGGAGGGGTGGTAAAACTGTTTCACGAATGGGGCTACATGCTCTAAAAAGGTAAAATAATCATGGAAGGCCCAGCAGAAAGTAAAGACAATATGTTTGTTATGGGTTCTATAGGTAGCCTAACACGCTATACGGCTGAGGGAGAGGGAGAAAGGACTGCCAGTGAGATCCAGAGGAATAACTCAAAGCAAAAGTAACTGCACAAGCTATTTATGACTAGCCAAGCCTATCTGTGAAGATAAGAGAGGCTGACAAAAGACCAAAGTCTCTGGAGTCTATCCAGTATCAATATTGAAGCTGCAAAAGTGCTGTCACTTACTGCACCATGTCTTGCCATATGAACAACAGCTCAAATGCACATTAACCAAAAGCTCAGTAGATCCAAAACCGAGAGGACAGTTACCCAAATGCCCAGCCCAAGTCAGGTTGTTGGTGTGGAAGGTCCAGCCAGCCAAGAAGGGAGATTGAGAATGTGATTGTTGCTTGCTGTAGAGTCATATGTGGTAGCAGGTATTGAGCCTTTTATTGGATTACCACTCCATTAGGAAAGTACCTAAGGCATTACCACCCCATTAGGTAAGTACCTAAGGCATTACCACCCCATTAGGGAAGTAACTAAGGCATTACCACCCCATTAGAGAAGTAACTAAGGCATTACCACCACATTAGGGACGTAACTAAGGCATTACCACCCCATTAGGTAAGTAACTAAGGCATTACCGCCCCATTAGGGAAGTAACTAAGGCCTTACCGCCCCATTAGGGAAGTAACTAAGGCATTACCACCACATTAGGGACGTAACTAAGGCATTACCACCCCATTAGGGACGTAACTAAGGCATTACCACCCCATTAAGGAAGTAACTAAGGCATTACCACCCCATTAGGTAAGTACCTAAGGCATTACCACCCCATTAGGGGAGTACCTAAGACATTAACACCCCATTAAGGAAGTAACTAAGGCATTAACACCCCATTAGGGAAGTAACTAAGGCATTACCGCCCCATTAGGGAAGTAACTAAGGCATTACCGCCCCATTAGGGGAGTAACTAAGGCATTACCGCCCCATTAGGGGAGTAACTAAGGCATTACCGCCCCATTAGGGAAGTAACTAAGGCATTACCGCCCCATTAGGGAAGTAACTAAGGCATTACCGCCCCATTAGGGAAGTAACTAAGGCATTACCGCCCCATTAGGGAAGTAACTAAGGCATTACCACCCCATTAGGGAAGTAACTAAGGCCTTACCGCCCCATTAGGGAAGTAACTAAGGCATTACCACCCCATTAGGGGAGTAACTAAGGCATTACCACCCCATTAGGGAAGTAACTAAGGCATTACCGCCCCATTAGGGGAGTAACTAAGGCATTACCGCCCCATTAGGGAAGTAACTAAGGCATTACCACCCCATTAGGGAAGTAACTAAGGCATTACCGCCCCATTAGGGAAGTAACTAAGGCCTTACCACCCCATTAGGGAAGTAACTAAGGCCTTACCGCCCCATTAGGGAAGTAACTAAGGCATTACCGCCCCATTAGGGAAGTAACTAAGGCATTACCACCCCATTAGGGAAGTACCTAAGACATTAACACCCCATTAGGGAAGTACCTAAGACATTAACACCCCATTAGGTAAGTACCTAAGGTATTTTAGAACATAGAGATCATAGTGCTAAGCCACTAGATTATCCAGTGAACCAATCATTGGCCACTATCTGGTATTGCCCACCCCCTCAGTACTGTACATGGTTGCTTGGTTACATTAAGCAAATAAGTTGGTCACTGGTTATCACCAGTCCCCTGAACATCACTGAGGTGCAGAGAAGGTAGTTGTGGTCAGCATTGAGCGACCAATGTCATTAGCATATCAACCTCCCACCCCTCCTCTCATTACCCCAGTCAATCCTATATGCTGTGCTGAGAGAAGAGGAACCATTTTTTCCAGTCACAAGAGTATGTGTAAAAGAGACATGATCAAAGAGAGGGCCCCATCCTCAACCTTGACCCTTGTGTAGAGATGAAACCCAACACGAGAGGAAGCACTTTCTTCCTTCCTGTCGAGCTAGTCGTGTTAGCATGGTGCCATGGCAACAGCTGCAGGGCCTTTTCCCCCAGACAGAGCCAGAGAACACAATAGCACAAGAAAGCAAAGAATGAAGCTTTGGCACAAATTATCTTAATTCTATTTTCAACAAGGCCCATGACCAGATTGTGTACATAATGGCCATTAGTGTGAATCTAACTCAGAACAGATATTTGTTGAATCCATGAATAACTAGAATAATTTATCAAAAGGGTGGAGACTACCTGGCTACCAATGCTCTCAAGACTACCTCTGCCTTTTCCACATGCTTTGTGTCTGTTTGAGCTCTGTCCTATCAGAGATGTGCCCCCTGCAGGGGGAAACTTGGGGGGCACCCAGGGCAACATCCGTCTCCCCACCACGTGGGATGGAGACATTGTGCAAATTAAAACCACCACAGCATGACTTTTAAGCAAAGGATTACACTACAACAAAATCCACGCTTTCTTCCCCTCATCTCCCTGCCTTCCTGATATGGGGCAATTCCACGATAACGGAGTGATGCACAAGGAAAGTTAGAAAATTATGCACAAGGATGACTTAATCTTCTACAGATTTTTTTACAAAACACATTTACTAAAAGAACAGTGCAGATGCAAAGTTTGGTAACAGAATGACAGTTTGTGCTGTCATTCTGTTATCAAACTTTGCATCTGTACTGTTCTTCAAGTAAATGCGTTTTTGTTAAATGTTCTGATGAAAATTGTTAAAAGTCATCCTTGTGCATGGAGTTGTATGGTTTGTTTAACACACACACACACACACACACACACACACACACACACACACACACACACCGCAGTGTATAATTCTGTACTGCTGGAAAAGACAACGCTGAAAGCTGCCTGAAATATTCACAGCAATATGGCTGAAAGGAAACAGAGCTGCATGGTTCCATTTTCTGCCTTTATTCTTAAACTCTGGCTAAGTCACAATATATAGCAATTGTAGAACAGATTTGAGTTCGGGTGTCTGGTAGAGGAATATGCTTAAGATGCTGCCATATTTCAGATGTGATGCATCTTCTCTGGCTGTATCCTACAACCATTCCTCCTGAGGTGAATCGTAAAGTGTGCCATTTGTAGGTGTATCCAAACACTCTTCTACCCCCTCCCCAGACCCCGAACACCCAACCCTGCAAAAGCACTGCTTTAATATTTCATAGCAATGCAAATTTGCACAAACACACACTCACACCCCATCCCATGTGTCTGCAGTGCACTCTGCCTCGATCGAGGCAGTAAAAAAACTAAACAATCTAAGCAGTAAATCACAGGAGGCGCTACATGACATGTTGCTGGGAGTGGACCAGCTGCTCTAGTAACCAGGGCAACCAGTAAACCGCCCCAGTCCCCCCACAGTCCCCTTATTCAAAATAGATACTATCTGTCAGCATCAGTCTTCATTAGCTAATGGCTATACAGTAATAAAGGTGCTAAAGCTTTGTTATTACTCCGTTTAGCAACTATCCCCTTATATACAAAAATGTATGCACGCATGACTGTAAGTCGCTTTGGATAAAAGCGTCTGCTAAATGGCATATTATTATTATTTATTATTATATATGTATAAATACATTTGTCATAATTCTAACTAATTTGTATTAGGTATTTTTCATGACTCATTCTTGTAAAGTTATGCTGGTAGTCCTGTGAAATGAGATCAAGCAGACACTGTGTGACACACCACCTGATTCTCTGCTCCCCCCATCCTGCAGCCCAGCACCACCCTGTCCAGCCGCACTCTACTAGTGTAAACACACACATATAGGCTCTGATGCCACGCATTCCTTAGTCAGCCTGTTGGCCAGAAGAGGCTACGCAACACGGCTTCCATAGTGGAGCACTGCAGCAATCCAGAAGTAGTAATTTCACAGATGCCCAGTTGTGATGGCCTGAGCTAGCAAGCTAGCATGAACAAGTGTGAGTGAGGACTGATGGTGGGGCGAGGTAATGCTTGACACCAGAGGAGAAAGTTGCTATGTTCTGGTGACTGTGAGGGAAGATGGGCTACAGGGTGAGGAAGGTACAGCTGTGGCCAACTATTTACAGCTGCGAGGTCACTCTCTACTCCTCCCACTCAGCCTGGCAATTCACTCTCTGCTTTCCATCAGCCACCTGTCTCATTCCTCTGTCCTCCCCACTAACATCATCACTAACACTCCACACAATCTACACTGCAAACTATACAAATAACGGTCAGAAGGAGCTACTCTGCTGATGCTGTATGGTTGAGGTGTAAAGGAAGAAAACTTAATTGCAACGTTTCTCCTGCTTTAGTCTTGTGTGCCAGGCTTTTAGGTTCTACAACTAGACAAAAATAGGTTGCTTGTTGGCCTCTGTATCTCACAGGAACCAATGAAAATTGTAGGACTGTTATCTCACCCTGAGCAACCTGGCATTTCCAGGCATCAGCATACAGAGCGAATATGAGAATACGACATCTGGCTACGCAGGACAACTCCTGCTATAAATTAGGCAGGTCGCTCTCTGGGCTTTGGAAAACATTACTAGTTGAAACCATGAACTGACCTCACTTGCATAAACAGCCTGCTGGCCAATGGTAATGGACAGCACCAGTACCACCCATGGCATTGCGTACACAGTCCCAGGCAGTGAAATGAAAACATTGACTCATGTCTATCATTAGTGTCCGATGGAGAGTCCAAGAGAGGACATATATAGGACAACGTGCCTTTTGTCCTTTTGTCAGCGAACATCCATCTCTCTCCCTTCCAGTCAACATATAGGCATATAATATAATAATAATAAATAAATAAATAAATAAATAAATAAATAAATAAATAATATAAGCCTACTGCCTCCTGATGTTTTTCCAGAAACACTCTCCCCATTGTCATCAACAAACCCCATGGACAGTTTTGTTTGCTTCGATCATAAGGAGTGAAAAGCAGAAAATATGTTGTCAAAATGCAGTGTCAAAGTACAAGTGTGGTCCTTTTAGTGCTGCTGTTAATGGTCACTGAACGAAAGACAGAGCAAACAAGATTGAAGACGGGGAGAATGCCACTTGTGTGTGTGTCTGTGTGTCTGTCAACCTCTCCAGACCGGCTGTTTAAAATAGTAAAATGGGCCCAAGGGGCGGTCTTCGTCAAGGGTTCGGCAATCCACTTGGAATGTTATGCAAAGTTCCATATTCTTCTTGAATGCTCCCATTTTCCAACAGAAGAGTATTTGTTTGGTTGTGTTTTGCTTTTCATTAACAGACGAATACACTCAAGTAGTCTTCAGTCAGCTGAGTTAAGTTTCTCAGTGTTACGAGAACAACAGCCTGTGGCGAAAACGTTGATGAATGGTTCTGCAGTGGCCACAACATAATAAGGCTTTCTGCCGTAACCTCCAACCAAGGCCGGCGACTCCGCTAAATTTCTCAAGTAGATGTTTGACTGAGGAGAAGTAAAGGCAATCAAGTATTTTTCTCAACATCAATTCTATCATTTTCCCAGATTGTATTGTAGAATATCTGGATGATAAATATACTGAATAAAAATATATATGCAACGTGTAAAGTGTTGGTCCCATGTTTCATGAGCTGGAAAAAAAGATACCAGAAATGTTCCATATGCACAAAAAGCTTATTTCACTCAGATGTTGTGCACAAATGTGTTTACATCCCTGTTAGTGAGCATTTCTCCTTTGCCAAGATATCTATCCATCTGACAGGTGTGGCATATCAAGAAGCTCATTAAAACAGGTGCACCTTGTGCTGGGGACAATAAAAGGCCACTCTAAAATGTGCAGTTTTGTCACACAACACAATGCAACAGATGTCTCAGGTTTTGAAGGAGGGAGCGTGCAATTGGCATGCTGACTGCAAGAATGTCCACCAGAGCTATTGCTAGAGAATGAAATGTTAATTTCTCTACCATAAGCCGCTTCCAATGTTTTAGTCTGCGGCCTCACAACCGCAGACCATGTGTGACCACGCCAGCCCAGGACCTCCAGAACCGGCTTCTTCAACTGAGGGATCGTCTGAGACCAGTCACCCGGACAGCTGATGAAACTGTGCACAACCAAAGAATCTCTGCACAAACTGTCAGAAACCGTCTCAGGGAAGCTCGTCGTCCTCACCAGGGTCTTGATCTGACAGCAGTTCGGTGTCATAACGGACTTCAGTGGTCAAAGGCTCACCTTCGATGGCCACTTGTGCTCTTCACGGATGAATACCGATTGCTGTTTGCTGATGTCAACGTGGTGAACAGAGTGCCCCATGGTGGCGATGGGGTTATGGTATGGGAAGGCATAAGCTTTGGACAACGAACACAATTGCATTTTATCGATGGTATTTTGAATGCACAGAGATACCGTAACGAGATCCGTGCCATTCATCTGCCGCCATCACCTCATGTTTCAGCATGATAATGCACGGCCCCATGTCGCAAGAATCTGTACACAATTCCTGGAGGCTGAAAATGTCCCAGTTTGTCCATGGCCTGCATACTCACCGGACAGGTCACCCATTGAGCAAGTTTGGGATGCTCCAGATCGATGTGTACGACAGCGTGTTCCAGTTCCCACCAATATCCAGCAACTTTGCACAGCCATTGAAGAGGAGTGGGACAACGTTCCACAGGCCACAATCAACAGCCTGATCAACTCTATGTGAAGGAGATGTATCGCTCCGCATGAGGCAAATAGTGTTCACACCAGATACTGACTGGTTTTCTGATCCACGCCAACAGATGCATATCTGTATTCCCAGTCCTGTTAAATCCATAGATTAGGGCCTAATGAATTTATTTTAATTGACTGACTTCCTTATATGAACTGTAACTCAGTTGCGTTTTTATTTTTGTTCAGTGTAGATAGCACATTCATCTGAAAAGTTCAATGAGTCTTTACAGCAACCAGACATAAAAGATGGAGTTATCATGGGACAGAAAATCTCTGGTGGGAAGGAAGCGAGCTCCATCTCCACTCAAGTGTGAAGACGCTGAGCGAATGTAAACTCGCTGGTGTTTGCCAGGCTGAGCAGCCCCTGACCAGCCGAGCAAGACAGACTTTCTAATCCGCGAGCGGTCAACCCATCTAACTGCTGCCACTGCTGATCTCCTGCCAGATATAGCCTCTCCGCACGCAAACCTCTAGTCCCAGGGCAAACCTCTAGTCCCAGGGCAAACCTCTAGTCCCAGGGCAAACCTCTAGTCCCAGGGCAAACCTCTAGTCCCAGGGCAAACCTCTAGTCCCAGGGCAAACCTCTAGTCCCAGGGCAAACCTCTAGTCCCAGGGCAAACCTCTAGTCCCAGGGAAAACCTCTAGTCCCAGGGCAAACCTCTAGTCCCAGGGCAAACCTCTAGTCCCAGGGCAAACCTCTAGTCCCAGGGCAAACCTCTAGTCCCAGGGCAAACCTCTAGTCCCAGGGCAAACCTCTAGTCCCAGGGCAAACCTCTAGTCCCAGGGCAAACCTCTAGTCCCAGGGCAAACCTCTAGTCCCAGGGCAAACCTCTAGTCCCAGGGCAAACCTCTAGTCCCAGGGCAAACCTCTAGTCCCAGGGCAAACCTCTAGTCCCAGGGCAAACCTCTAGTCCCAGGGCAAACCTCTAGGACAAACCTCTAGTCCCAGGGCAAACCTCTAGTCCCAGGGCAAACCTCTAGTCCCAGGGCAAACCTCTAGTCCCAGGGCAAACCTCTAGTCCCAGGGCAAACCTCTAGTCCCAGGGCAAACCTCTAGTCCCAGGGCAAACCTCTAGTCCCAGGGCAAACCTCTAGTCCCAGGGCAAACCTCTAGTCCCAGGGCAAACCTCTAGTCCCAGGGCACCGGCGTGTTGTTAACCACTGTGGCCCAGCATGCAAACAGCAGGGAAGAATCCCAGGGACAGACACACACACACCTAACAGGGGTCAATAATAACATGAGAATGAGAACTGGAAGCTATAGACTACTGTAAGGCAGTATGTGTGTGTGGGTATGATTCCCACATGTGTTATCTCTAAGTGGATTTGGATGAATGACCATATTATTATATCAATGAATTGCAAAGCATATAATTTTTTGGAATGGATTTTCTCATTTAAAGCAACTTTCTCCTACCATTTAGGATGTTTGACTAATTTATGCGTATGACGTCTTCTCTGAGAATTGTGACCGTCATGGGGTGTAACAGCTGTCTAGTTTGAAAAGTGGGTCAAGAACAGCATTCACACAGATATTCAATGGGACTCATTTAATAGACTTTGACTGAAGAAACAGTCAAAAAGTAGCCGGGCAACATACAGTTGAAGTCGGAAGTTTACATATACCATTGCCAAATACATTTAAACTCAGTTTTTCACAATTCCTGACATTTAATCCTAGTAAAAATTCCCTGTCTTAGGTCAGTTAGGATCAACACTTTATTTTAAGAATGTGAAATGTCAGAATAATAGTAGAGAGAATGATTTATTTCAGCTTTTATTTCTTTCATCACATTCCCAGTGGGTCAGAAGTTTACATACACTCAATTAGTATTTGGTAGCATTGCCTTTAAATTGGTTAACTTGGGTCAAATGTTTCGGGTAGTCTTCCACAAGCTTCCCACAATAAGTTGGGAGAATTTTGGCCCATTCCTCCTGACAGAGCTGGTGTAACTGAGTCAGGTTTGTAGGCCTCCTTGCTCGCACATGCTTTTTCAGTTCTGCCCACAAATGTTCTATAGGATTGAGGTCAGAGCTTTGTGATGGCCACTCCAATACCTTGACTTTGTTGTCCTTAAGCCATTTTGCCACAACTTTGGAAGTATTCTTGGGGTCATTGTCCATTTGGAAGACCCATTTGCGACCAAGCTTTAACTTCCTGACTGAAATGGCACCCCAATGGTGGAACAAGCTCCCTCACGACGCCAGGACAGCGGAGTCACTCACCACCTTCCGGAGACATTTGAAACCCCACCTCTTTAAGGAATACCTGGGATAGGATAAAGTAATCCTTCTACCCCCCCCCCCCCCCCCCCTTACTCCAACAAAAACAAAAAAAACATTGTAAAGTGGTTATCCCACTGGCTATAAGGTGAATGCACCTATTTGTAAGTCGCTCTGGATAAGAGCGTCTGCTAAATGACGTAAAGGTAAATGTAATGTTGCTTCAATATATCCACCTAATTTTCCTTCCTCATGATGCCATCTATTTTGTGAAGTGCACCAGTCCCTCCTGCAGCAAAGCATCCCCCACAGCATGATGCTGCCACCCCCGTGCTTCACGGTTGGGATGGTTCTTCGGCTTGCAAGCATCCCCCTTTTTCCTCCAAACATAACGATGGTCATTATGGCCAAACAGTTCTATTATTTCATCAGACCAGAGGACATTTCTCAAAAAAGTAAGATCTTTGTCCCCATGTGCAGTTGCAAACCGTGGTCTGGCTTTTTTATGGCGGTTTTGGAGCAGTGGCTTCTTCCTTGCTGAGCGGCCTTTCAGGTTATGTCGATATAGGACTTGTTTTACTGTGGATATAGATACTTTTGTACCTGTTTCCTCCAGCATCTTCACAAGGTCCTTTGCTGTTGTTCTGGGATTGATTTGCACTTTTCGCACCAAAGTACGTTCATCTCTAGGAGACGCATCTCCTTCCTGAGCGGTATGACAGCTGCGTGATCCCATG